TGTGCAGCAGATTTGCCTAATGCAATACGTCGTCTGATTTCTTGACTGCTGCTTTTATGAGTGTTGATAGTTGATCAAAGAAGAATGAAGTCCTTGACAACTTCAATCTTTTCTTCATTGATAAGAAAGTTGTTATTGGTCCAGTGGTGAGGATTTTTGTTTTCTTTACACTGAGATGTCATCCACACCGAGGGCTGGGGTTACTGTTTTTCTTGTTGAATGCCTTCAAGTCGATTCCGGCCCATAATGACCCTGTATAGGGTTTCCAGGAAGCAGCTGGTGAGTTTGAACCGCCGACCTTGTAGTGCAAATGGGTTACTAGTCACCCCTTATTGGCAGTAAGAAAGCCTTGGGTCTCACAGAAGCCGGTTCCCAAGTCCAACTAGCTACCCTGGGTCCATGACTTCTTTGTTTAAATAAAACCTTAATATCATGAAGAACTAAATGGCATCCAATTACCACTACCAACCACTGAAAGGAATCACATTAGAAGGTCCTGGATACAGTGGGGGGTGGGGGATGTGAAATGAACTTAAAAATCATTTAAAGAAAGAAAGACAAGGTTTACTAGGTAGATAGAGTCCGATGGCAATACAAGACCACAACCCTTAGTCACTTGTCAGCTCTGGAACTGAACTTCCCCCCGCATGGCTCAATTTTCAGCCAAACAGTGGACTATAAGGGGAATATGAGGACTCTACCAGCCACTCCGCAGGAGAAACACTATCTAGGGTCACTGTGAGTCTGAACCGACTCCACAACACACCACCACCATAAGGGGAGAAGAGGTAGGCACCCCTTAGAAAATCAACCACTGGACATCAAAAGGGCAGAATTTGCCCAAGAACAAAGAACAGAAGGGAAAATTAGGAAAGGAGGAGAAAGGGAAACAGAAACACAAGGAGGAAGTGGGATGAGTGATGTTCCATGGTGGGGGTTACAATCAATGATGTGAGACAAACTGTGCAGGAATCATTGAATGGAAAACTGATCTGCTCTGTAAACCTTCACCCAGGTCACAATAAAGTTGTGTGTTGTCTTTTAAATCTTCATGTCATATTTAGAGGCTTTCCCAAGAGAACAGGAGTGCTTTATTAAGAGGATTGGGGTCCCTGAGAAAAAGAGCTTTGCTGAGCCCTGCAGAAGTACCCTTTATAGCTGCCCCGAGCTGCTGAGACCAAGGACTGGGCCTGAACTCACAACCTCTCCAATGAAAGAGGGTGTTGCTAGTCACTTAACCTTGCAGGAAAGATGCCATCATGGTCAGGATTACCCAACGTCCATGGGGCTGAAGGGCAGAGCCATGGGTGGCCTGTCCCCACTCACTGTCCCTAGTGTCACCCTCGGCTTCCTGGGTGCCCTCCCCTCTGGTCCCTGCTGCCCCACACCAGCGTGCCCTGTCACTTTCCTCTGTGGTCCTTCAGGACAACTCCATGCCTGATGCCCCCTTATCGGGTCCTTCAAGGGCTTCTGAACTCAACCTCTGGTCTCAGGGCCTCAGACAGGCCCGGTGGGGCATAGCTGGTGTGCGCCCTCGGCACAGCAGAAGCGCAGCGCTAGGCTTTAACCCATGCTTCCAGTTTGTTCGGGCCCATTCCTTTGTGCCCACTCACCCTCAGGCTGCGGCCTCGTGGCACCCCATCCCTACCCTGTCCCCCCAGATGACATGGTCTCCCATGAGGAGCAGGTATAGTCCCGCTGGTCCCTGCCTCCTTGGTGACAGTGAGTGATTGGGCAGGGGACTGCCTGTTCAAGGCCACAAGGACATGCTAAGCAGATGACCCGGACACAGCCAGCCTTGGAAGACACTGACTAGTGACAGTGACGTCAAAGTGGATTAGCCTGGCCAGTGAGGGGTCCTTTGGAGTGGGGGGCACCAGCTGGTCCCAAGGTCATAGGTCACAGTTCTTGGCTTTTCCTACTGGTCTTTCTGCAGAGGTGGCGGCTGTGGGGGGGGACACCTTTGTCTTATTAGGACAAGACAAAGGGCCAGGAGGCCTGGTTTGGGGGCACAGTGAGGGGGAATATCCCTTCACTCTTGGGAAGAAGTGCCATCGCTTCCCAAAGGGTCCTTGAGAACCCACGGGGTCCTCCCCACATAGAAACACACTGGGGGCGGAAGGGGGACTACATGCTGGTCACCCTCCTCATACCCCTCTCTTGATCCCCAAAAGACCCACTCCTGCCACCATTATGAGGCCTATGCTCCCCTGGCTGCCTGCCCCCCAAGTGCTCTGGGACCCCCGTCACGGCAGCAGGTCTGGAATGCAGGTGAATACTCTCATGCCCTGGCACGGACAGAAATCAGCCTCCTTTAATATTTGCTAGTTGAGTAAAGGGACTCCATGTTTGGTTTCTGGGTGGGGATGTCTTCATTATAACTGAGGGGCTGGATTCAAACAAACGAAGGACATGGGGGTGCCCGCAGGTCAGCCTGCCCAGGGCCTGCTTCCACTGGTACCTGGTGTCCAGTGGCCACTGTACTCCCTCCTGCCCATATTGGGCACAGCCATATGGAGACCCTGGTGTCTGAGCAGCCCTGGCTTGGAGGGGTTGAACTGGCCAGTGGCAGGGGGCACTCCCAGCCTCTTCGCTCCTCCTCTGCCTCCCAGACAGTCCTGTGTTCTTTGTCACATATCACAGATGAAGACCTGAAACTCAGCTACCATGGCCCCCTGGATGCAGGGTGCCTCGCCTTCTTATCTGCCGCCCAGAAGCCCCCCCCCCCCCCCCACACACACAGCAGACCTGGGATCAGTAAGTGGCCACGCCCAGCTCCTCCCAGCTTCTCACCCTTTTCTTTTCCTTGGTCCTAAGATTCAGCTAGATCCAGGCATCTTAGCCAGGCTCCTCCAAACACAAGGGCGTCAGAACGCCGGCCAGTCACCGTGGCCTCCCCGTACGCGGAGCCCCGCCCACAGTCTGAGCTGCACAAGCTCACCTGGCCCCCAGGCCACGACGCTGCGGCCACATGCATCCAAGTCAGGGTAAGTTTTCCAGGCGCCCGTCCACCACCGCTCGTGGAAGGCCACAGGGCCTTCTGTCTGCTTTGACATTGCACCGCATGCTGTGTGAGACGTTGCTGGCACCACGTAACTCGCTCCCGACCGAGCGCCTGCCCGGCCGGCCCGAACCAAAGCGGGCCCTTTAAGGACCGGGGGCGGGTAACGGGCCCGCCTACCCCCCACCCCCTAGCCCGACTATCCGTTAAAGGGGCCGCGCCGGCCGCGCCCTCCAGGAGCTGCCTGCCCCAAGGAGGGCGCCGGAGTCTGGCGCGGGTCCCGCGGACTGCTAACCCGGCGACAGTCCCAGAGAACGCGTGGGCGACCTGGGGGCGCGGCCCCTCAGCACAGGAGCCCGGCGCACCATGTACACTATCACCAAGGGACCCAGCAAGCTCGTCGCGCAGCGCCGCACAGGTGCGTACAGGCTGGGCGGTCAGCGGCCGTGGGGTTCACTCGCCCCAGGCGTCCCGGACGCAGTGATCACCAGGGCTCCGCGCCCTGGGGACCCGTGTCCACTGGCTCCTGACGCGCACGCTGTACCCTCAGGCCCCCCGCAGCAGCAAGTGGAGAGCAGGGTCGGCGAGCTCTTGAAATGCCGGCAGCCCGCGCCGCCAACGCCGCCGCCTCCGCGGGCTCAGCCCTTCGCGCAGCCGCCCGGACCCTGGCCCCTGTCGAGGTGAGACGCGCGCCGTCCTGGTCCGCTGAGTTCGGCGTCCCCTCCCCCGCCATATGGCCGAGAGGGTGACCTTGGGGGAAAGGTTACCGGAGACCTTGCCACATGGCTTGTGGCGTGCGGGAACGCGGAGGGGCGGGGCGCGCCGGCCACGCCCCCGTCCTGGTCCCCACCGGGCTGCTCAACTGGACCCCCTCGGTTCCCACTGGAAGACAATCCACCGGCTCTGGCGTTGCAGTGACAGGAGAGAGCTGGCCCGGACACTCCTCGGTCGACCTTGTACCCCTATGGAGCCCGGAAGCCAGGGTTAGAGAAGCGCTGACCAAGGTTCTTGCCCAAGGTGCTTTTTCTCAAGGTCTCCGGTTCTGCCCAAGCTGCCAGCCTGCCCTTGACGACGGCTGAGGGGAGAGGTGCACGTGGTTCCACAGGCTGCCAACTGCCGTTCTCCTGGCCCTTCACCCCACATAACCTGAGAGCCCAGAAAGTTCACACCCAACCAGTTTGGCCTCCTGGTCACCGGGACCTGGGCTGGCTGAACCTTTTCCTCCCTGGGCTTTCTTTCTGCACATTTCCTGGGTCTGCGGACATCTGGGCTCACAAGCCACGTGCAGGTGCATAATACTGGTAGCATGTGGGAGGGCTACAGCCAGCCAGACAGCCTCCAGGACCAACTCCACAGGACTCTAGTCTCAGCTACGCCCACCTTGGGCACCCAGAGCTCAGAGGATTTGTCTGCCTTAGTTGTTGTTGTGTTAAGTTCTGTCTAGTCAGTTCCGACTAATAACAACCCTGTGTACGGCTTCCGAGAAGCGATTGGTGGGTTTGAACTGCCGACCTTGCAGGCCAGTGCATTGTCCTGCATGCAGCTCCACACCTGCCTCAGTTACTGGCTAGAAATAAAACAGGCCAAGATGAGGGTGGCTCCATGGGTCTGTCAGCCTCTATGCCCTCAGGGACTCCTTGCTGGGTGGGGGGCACACATTGACATCAGGGGCTAGATTCTAATAAGACCAGAGCAAAGGAAGCCGAGTGACCCAGGAGGGAGGACCAGGGAGATCCCTGCGGGCAAGCTGTGCTTACCTGCCGGTGTTTGCAGCCACTCTAACCTTCCTGGTGAGGACTCTGAGGCACAGGGCACCTATGGCACTTGGTCATTTAGCCAAGGGACTCAAACTCATGAGGAAAGCTGGGGTCTGTTCTTTAGACCAAGTGAGCCACAGTGACCACCCCTCCACCCCTTACCTGGGAAACCAGCTTTGCTTCCCTCTCTGGTCCCATTGTTCAGGGACAGGTCAGGGAACAGGCTCCCTGGACCATGTGGGACATGGAGCTGGGCTGGACCAGGGTTGGAGCCCGGACAGGGTGCAGACTGCTTGTCAGCCCCTCCTCTATTATTACCCATTGCCCTCAGCATTTTTTGTTGTGAATTGAGTAAAGGTCTACAGAGCAGACCTTCAGTTTTACATTCAACAAACCGTATCCTTTGTTCCACTCCAATGACTGCAATGCTCTCTAGGTCCAACTAACAGGATTTACCTTGGTTCCCTTGAACTGGTTTCTCCTGTGTCTTCTGCTCCCTCGCCTTGTGTAGTCCTTGTTCATTTCTGACTGGCTAAACTGAGGAAGCACTCTCCTCACCCGAGAGTGTGAGAAAGAGAGGTGTCACCCAATGTGGGGGACCTGGCAGGAGATGGCCACAAAGGCACTCAGGCCTGGGCGCATGGTCTGGGAGGCAGGTTGGGACATGCCCTGTCCCTTTGGAGCCCAGACTGCTGTTCTGACAGGTGGGTGAGTGCTTCACCTGGGAGGGGTGTTGAAGGAATTATATGAGAGGATACCCAAGTCATCCTACTCAGGGACCTGGATGGCTCCCTAGGTCCATGCCTCACTAGGTACACACTTGCGCCCTTTCACCTACAGAGCGCAGAGCAGCCTTACATCACCAAGGCCTGGGGCAGTGAGGTGGGCAGGATGAGGCAGGTACAGCACCTACTTGTTGGGGCCCCTTCTTGGCCTCTGCAGCCCCCAGCTCACAGCCCTTGGCTTTTTTTTTTTTTGTTCTTAGTCTTCCCCAAGTTTGTGTTCTTGCGGGGCTGGTTCAGATCTTCCCGCCCTTCATTTTGTACAGAAGATAAGACAGGGAGCCACCCTGGGTCTGCAGTGTGCGCCTGAGGGACCTGGTGCTGGGAGGAGCCCTTGTATATCAGACCCCTGCTGGCCCTGGGGCACCTCAAGATGCTCCTCTCTGTTTTAGTGTCCCTCTCAGCTGAGGAGGAACCCAGAGCGGTTTGCAGTCGCCCAGCGATGGGGGACCTGAACCCAGGAAAGCGAGCCGGCCGGCCGGGGACCTCGAGGGCCTGGCGGAGCGTGCGCAGCCCTGGAGCCCCACTCCCGCCTCCTGCTGTAGGTGCGCCCGCTCCCTCCATGGCCCCTCTGTCCTGGGCTTCCTGTGCAGTTGTGCTTGGATCCTGCCGGCTGGCCAGGCCTCCGCTCCCGGCCCCGGCTGGCCGGGAAGGCTCTTTGGCCTGGATGTAGTGTGCCCAGCACCTCAGGGCTATCTCCTCACTTGAGCTCCCTGAGCATTTCCATCCCTTGCCTTATCTCCGGCTAACCCGTGCCAGCATCCATCGGGGTGCTGTTTGGTACTCATCTCCATGGGACCTGGGGGTGAGCTGAAGAAAGAACCTTGTCTGGGGTCCTCCTTACCATGCTGCAGGCGTCTTTGAATTTCTCTCCTGTGGAGAACTGGATGGAGAATGGCCTTGAGGGTGGGGTAAAGGAACGGAAAGGAGGTTGTGCTCAGGAGTCAGCTGGGTGGACGGCAGGTGGTCTTGTGGGCCCCAAGAGACTTCTGGGCCATCAGAGGCCTGTTTGTGTGCTAGGAACCAGGAACCAGGAGCTGTGGGCTAGGCTGGGGCCTGAGCAGGGCTGGCAGGGGACCAAGTACTGCAAGGCTGTGAGCTGAACTGTGGCTTCAGGAGGTTGACTTCAGGAGGTCCGCCTAGCCCCAGGCTACAGACAAGTGCCCGGAGCTGGACTCTGGGCTGAGGGTGTGGCAGGAAGCTACTGGAAACTCTACCAAGCAGTACCAGCCTGGGGGCCTGACACCAACCTTCTCCCCACACACAGCTCAGGGCCCAGGCTGGTGTTCAACCGGGTGAATGGCCGGCGGCCCCCTGCCACGTCCCCATCCCTCGAAGGGCCCCAGGAGACCTACACACTGGCCCATGAGGAGAACGTCCGCTTTGTGTCCGAAGGTAGAGGGGGCCGTGACTTGGCCACCTGGTCCTCTCCCCACTGCAACCTGACTCCTGGTGGCCAGAGAGCTAGGCTTCTCCCCTGCTGCTAGCCAGCTGGCCCTGTGACCACTGGGCTGGCTGCCCATTCCCCAAGGCAGGCAGAAGTCCAGGGTAGCCACCAGGCCTTGGGGTGGGAGTGGGGGGGTGGAAAGGGTCTGGTCTGCCTGACCACTCCCTCCCCACAGCCTGGCAGCAGGTGGAGCAGCAGCTGGACAGCGTCCCAGCTGGTGAGAGTGGAATGAGGCCTGTACAGTACGAGGAGAGGAGCCCTAACCCCCGCCTGCAGAGTGAGTGCCCTCTGTCCCAGGGTCCAGGGATTTCGGCCAGCATTGAGGGTCAGTTTTGGCCTGGGGAGGCAGCATCACTGCCCAGCTCTCTGCTCCCCCCAGATTTCGTGCCCATTGACCTGGACGAGTGGTGGGCACAGCAGTTCCTGGCTCGAATCACCAACTGCTCCTAGACACTGCCTCAGGAGATGCATTGCCTGCACTGGACCTTGCTCGTCCCCTGATGGACCCATAGCCAGAAGAAGACCATGCTGCCCCCATCCACACATGGCAGCAGGCTTCGCTTCACTGGGCCAAGTTGGATGCGAGCCACACCTGAAGTGCCAGCATTTGGACTTTTGCACCTTTTGTTTCCTGGGCCTGACTGTCCCACCTGGCCAGGTGCAGGGGCTGACCTTGTCTGCTGACCTCAGTTCTTTGCTGTGTCAGCCCAGGAACTCCAGGATAATAAAGTGAAGAAATTGTTCCAAGTGGCTTTTATTTGGTGTCTGTGGAGTAGGGGCTGGGGTCAGCTTTCCCTCGCCCTGTCGGTGGCACCCCTGGGCCTGCTGAGGTGGCAGCTTTGCCACGCTCTGCCTTCAGCTTTGCCCCAGCTGCCCACAGAGGGGCCACTTCAAAGTGCCAACTGACCACCCTATTCCTCTCCCGTTGGCCTTGGGCCTGTCACTCTCAGGCAGGGTGGGCGACATTATACAACCAGCCTTTTACTGGGGTATCTAGCCCCCAGGGATTAGGACCGGGTTTGGGATACCTGACTGCTAGACACTGAGCGAAGACGTCCCTCAGGTTTTGGGGGGGTGGCACAGGGGAAGTTGTACATGGGTTTCAGGCTGGAGACCCTCCCAGGTACCTGTGCACACCTGTTGGGTAGTGGGGGTGTGTGTGGATAGGCCTTTGGAAGGGGGCTAGGTTCAGCCCCACTCACTCGAGTTGGGGGTGGGTCTCATTCCTAACTGTGGAGTAAGTGGTTGGAGTAGGCAGGACAGGAGTCTTGGGGCCCTGGGGGCCCTCAAAAGGTAGGGGTACAGCCCTACTCTCTTGGCTGGCGGGGGGTTCGGGTCACGACTCGCCCTGAGAGGATCCTAACTTTAAATTGCGAACCTCAAGGTCAGCAGTTCGAAACCACCAGCTGTTCTGCGGGAGAAAGATGAGGCTTTCTGCTCCCGTAAAGATTTACAGCCTCGGAAACCCTGTTCAGGGTCGCTATGGGTCGGAACCGACTCGACGGCACTTAACAACAAGCTGGTTGGCAGGTCCCTTAAGACGACTCTCCCGCAGGCAGCACAGCTTAGGTCACGGCTCGGCGCGGCGCGGCGCGGTCACGTGGGCCCTGGGCGCCGCCATTACAGCGGAAGTGGTGCGGCGCCGTTGCCAGGCGGCCGTTGCTAGGCGCCATTGCGGGGCGTCTCGCTGCGTGCCCTGCGTGGGGCGTGCGGAGGCTGAGGCGGGAAGCTTGAGCTGCGGCGACATGGCTCGAGGTATCCGCGCTGGGTGTCCGGGCGGGGCCGGGCCGGGGTCGCGCGACGTAGCTGCTGGCTGATCGAGCACAGGGGTCAGGCCAGTCGTTCCGAGATCCCAGGCCAGCAGTCCGAGTGGCGTGGCCGGTCCCCGGCGACCCTAGAGGTGGCGGGGTGGGCAGGAGCCGAGCGGACAGGAACCTGGATCCCGGTGAGCGGCAGTGGTGGAGGGCGGCCTCAGGAGCCCCACCTTGGCCAGCGCTGGGCGAGTGACCTCTGGGAGCTTTTTTTCAACCTCCCAAGGCTGCAGGCTGAGTTCCTGCTGTGCCGTATCTGAACCTCCCTGGTACTCTGTCTGCGTTAAGTGCCCGGTTGAGTGGGTTCTGACTCACAGAGACTCTGTACTGTATATAGTGAGTTTGAACCACTGCCCTTGTGCTTCAAACCGACCTTGCTGTTCCGTGTTCATCCTACAGCATCTCACCAGGACTCCATTATTGTGTTTACACTGGGTGAAAGGGTCAGCAGACCCCCCCCACCCCCCATTGCCCCTTTCCCCCTGCCCAGGACCCACTGTGGAATTTTGGGTCCCCAAGGCACTTCTGTGTTCTCCCAGCCCAGGATCCACGTGTCCACGAGGCCCCCAGCCCAAGTCTCGCTGTAGGTTGTGGTTCCCCATGCCTAGTGCCCTGCCAGACCTCTGCTCCCTGCCACCCCCCAGTGTGGCAGCAACCGTTCCTCAACGTCTTCAGACACTTCAAGGTGGATGAATGGAAGCGGTCGGCCAAGGAGGGCGATGTGACCGCAGTGATGGTGTGTGAGCATCGGTCCTTTCTCCTTCCACTGGGACACGTCCCGTCCCATGCCACCTGAGGGTCTCATGAGCATGGTTCCTTGTGTCCCTCCAGGACAAGATCCTGAAGAGCACTGTGTACCGTATCCGGGGATCCGTGTCTGCTGCCAACTACATCCAACTCCCGAAAAGCAGCACCCAGTCCCTGGGGCTGACTGGGCGGTATCTGTATGTGCTTTTCCGACCACTGCCCACGAAGCACTTTGTCATCCATCTGGACGTGTCCACGGAGGTGCGGCCCTACTCAGGGCAGTGTGAGGGCCCCCGCAGGCTTCTTGTCCCTCATCTCATGACCATGCCTTGCCCTCCCTCAGGACAGCCAGGTCATCCGAGTGTCCTTCTCCAACCTCTTCAAGGAGTTCAGGTCCACAGCAACGTGGCTTCAGTTTCCTTTCATCTGTGAGGGCCGAGTGGCTGTACCAGGTGATGCTGAGACAAGCAAGGGTCTGGAAAGGGCACGGGAGCTGTGTGGCTTAGGGAGGGGAGGGGACCCTGATGTGGCACTATTCCACAGACCTGGCAGACACAGCAACCCCTGGCACCCGATGGACTTGTTTGCAACTAGACCTTCAGGGAATCCTGTTTGTCTACTTGAACCGGCGCTTTCGGCACCTCAAGAGTGTCCGACTGTGTGCCAGTCTGCTGGTCCGGAACCTGTATACCAGTGATCTGTGTTTCGACCCCGGTAAGAGCCGCCCGCTCTCCATCCGTTCCCCTCACCCCTGGCGGGCCAGGCAAAAGTTGGGCTGCCTCTGAGTTCCAGCCGCAAGGTCAGAAGCTGCCATGTTTGATGGTTTGCCACATGTGACCCGACCCCACTCCTATTTCACATTTGTGGCTGGCGTGTAAACATGTGCATCAGTTCCTGGCTCCTGGGACATCCCCTGGGTGTCGGTTAGCACCTTGATTAAGTTTCGCTGGGCTGGGAGGGGGTGATGGGAGGCCTTCCCCTGATCTGAAGCACCCCCCGCCCCTGGTAGCTGTGACCTTGACAGGAGCCCGGCGGGACAAGCTGGCCATCACTCCCATGCCCCGAGAAATGGTGTTCCCAGTGCCCAAGGGGGAGAGCTGGCATGACCATTATGTCCACATCCGGTGAGCACCTCTGCTGTCCTGGGAGCCTTGCGAGGGACCCTGGGAGGAGCACGGTCCTCTCGCCCCGGGTGGGCGCTGACTTTCCATCTTCCCTGCCAAGGTTTCCGAGCAATAGCCCAGGAGTGCCGAGGGAGCTGGGCCTGAAGAATTGCACCCCTCCTGAGGCAGGTGGGCCTGGGCTCCACAGGAATGGAGCTGGGGGAGAGGGACGCAGCAGGACGAGCACAGGGGCCTCTAGGTGACTCTGAGTTGGGGTGGGGGCGGGGCTCACTGAGCCATGGGTACAGTACAGCTGTTTCCTCCCTTGGGGGTCTTGCCCCTGCTACAGGTCTTCTGGGGTCTGGGCCGCAGTTTCTTCGCAGAGCAGGCAGAGACTGCAGAGCCTTACAGAACGGTGTGTCTGCCATGGTCCAGACCTCCAGCCCCACAGCTGTGAGTACCCTGCACCCTCTGGACTGGGCCGGGCCGCGCCGGGCACAGGGCACCAGGGAGCTAACAGGCCCTATCCTTGCAGTCCCTCCAGGTCCCCTCACTTCCCCTGCCCGTCCCAGAGGTCAGCCTGTCCTGCGAGCACCCAGACACGTTGGCCCAGGTGGGGGCCGGTGATGGTGTCCACGTGTTTGCCCACCTACCAGCTTTGGCGCCTTTGGTCCTGGAGGATGTTTGCTCTCAGGAAGTGAGTACCCATTTCAGGAAGGCTGGGGTGTCCAGTGTGGTGGGGCCTCATGAGCTGTGGGCAGCACTTGGCCAGGGGGACTAGCATTGGGCCTGCGGTAGCTGCTTTAAGTGAGGAGTGTTGGCGTCATAGTCACTTGGGATCACCCCAAATGGCAGTGGCCTGAGGAGCCAAGAGGCCTCTACCACCTCTTCCTGTCCAGGCTGCCTGCAGCAAGCAGAATAGACCAGAAACAGCTCAGAACAAGAATTCCTCTCATCCAAGAGTAAGGATGGGCTCTGTGTCCCACTCCCAGCCCATCGTCTGTAGGGGTTGACCCCAGGGTCCCTGCCCCAGGCTGGGGTCCCCCTGTGCTTAGCGGTCACTCTGTTGCGGGGGGCGGGGGGATGGCTGTGTCCTGATGGGTTCTTACAGGAATCTGCGTCTCCCAGAGCTTCCTCCCAGATCCGGTTCTGCGGCTCAAGGGGGTCATTGGCTTCGGGGGCTACAGCACCACATGGGTAAGGTATTCATGGGCTGCAGAGCCCAAGGGTGTTGGGTTCTCCTCACCCCTTGCAGGCCCTGGTGGCTTTCTGAGGTCTTCAGATGGCTCTATCCACCCAACCATGCCCATGCACACAGCTCGGGGTCTCAGCCATGCTGGCTTGCAGAGTCATCAAAATTGTTCTTTCACTTGGCAGATGCTCATGGAGGTTTGCCTAGCTAATGTGCTAATTCAGGTCCCCTGGAGCTCCTGGGACTAACACTTCCATTTTTAATGCGCCTATTTCACACGTGTCATGTGGCAGAGTGGTCTCAGAGAAGGTGTCAAGTCCTTCTTGGCCTCGGGGCACAGGCTTCATCAGTGGGCGAGCTCTATGGGCTTTTGCTACCTGAACCTCAAGAGTTTTCTGATGTGGAGGCTGAACTTAGAAGCGACTGTGGGCATGTGCTTGTACCTGCACATATGTGCACACGTGTGAGCACATGTGTGTATGCAGACACAGTGTAAACATGTGCATGTATGTGTATGCATACATGTGCACACCTGCTCTGTATACACACTTGTGCACTGTAATGTTCATGTGCACACATGATGCATCTGTGCATGTGTGTGCACATGCATGTGCACATGCACACTACGTGCACACGTGTGTGTACCTATGTGTGTGTAGATACACATGTCTATGGACGTGTGTAGGTACATGTACATGAGTGTGCACACACACCAGTGCATGTGTGTATGTGAATACACATCTGTAGACATGTGCATGGGTGCATATGTCCCTGTGTGCGTGCATGTACACGAGTGTGTGCATGCCATGCATACATGCCAGTGTACATATGTGTGTGGATACATGCCTGTACACGTGCATGAGCCTCTGTATACAGACAGTGCACATTCATGTGTGCTACATGTATGTTTGTGTGTACATGTGTGTAAATAGTCACTTTGTGCATATAGTTGTATACATCTTTATACATTTGTGTTTTAACTGTGTGGTTGACCCGTGCACCCCAGTGTGTGTGTGTGTGTGTGTGTGTGTGTGTGTGTGTGTGCGGGGGCAGGGGACACAAGTTTGACCCAGTAATCAGGAGGGACCTTAACTGTTACCAGGCCCTGTGGACCAAGGACGGGGCTGCTGTCGTGTACCCCTGCCACGCGGTCATCATTGTCCTGCAGATTGACACAGGCCAGCAGCGCTTCTTCCTGGGCCACACAGACAAGGTATGTGCCAATCCTGCTGGGGGCTGGGTGGGGCCTGGGAGCCCTGGGCACTGCCCCTGCTGGGGACCCTTCCTGAAGCCACTGCCTCCTTAGGTCTCTGCCCTAGCGCTGGATGGGAGCAGCTCCCTGCTGGCCTCGGCTCAGGTGCAGCCTCAGAGCATGCTGTGGCTCTGGGACTTCCAGACAGGAGGCTGTCTGTCCATGTTCAGGAGCCCGGCCCACACCATTTGCTCCCTCAGGTGGGTGGGGCCTTAATGTGGGGTGAGGGGCAGCCTGGAGCACACAGTGCTGAGTGCTCCTGCCCTCCCTACAGCTTCTCTGGCAGCGGGGCGGTTCTCTGCGGCATCGGCAAGGACAGCCACGGAAGGATGGTAGGGGGGATGCAGATGGCTGCCCAGAGCTGGGGGACATTGGGACTTGGCCTGTTTACTAAATGTCTGGCCTTGCCTGTTTCTGCTTGCTAAAGGCCTTTGTGTTCTTAATTTTAAAATCCCAGTTTAGAGCAGTACCCCCACCCCCTCATCCCTTGTGTGGGCACAGCCAGCCCATCCTGCCATGAACACAGGTGCTAGGAAGCACCCTGGGTTTCGCTCCTTGCTCTGAGGGCATCAATCACTAGGGCAGTTTCAGTAGCCGAAGCCAAGGGGACATGCAGCCTGTTCCATATGTGGCACAATACTGGGATCCCCACTGCATGTACCTTGTAGAAATCCAGGAATCTTGCCCGGCTCCCCTGGGGTGGCCTGCTCATGCCCAGGAGCTCTACATCCAAGCTGCAGGGGGTCGTCTGAGAAGCTGGGCCTCCCTTCACAGCTGTCTCGGGGATTGGGCTTGGTGGAGCACCAGGGTTGTCGGTCTGGAGCTGGGCTGGGCCCCACTGGTGCTCACGCGGGCTCCTTTGCAGATGGTGGTGGCCTGGGGCACGAGACGGGTGGGCGTCCAGGGCAGGGTGGACGTCATTGCAAAGGTGCACACAGACGCGGACATCCAGTCCTGGGCGGTTGCCCCTGATGACACCAGGTGATGTGGCTTCCTCCTATACTACATTGCATACCGCTAGTAGTGAGGTAGGGTTCCATCGTGAACATGCCCTAGGGGAACTTACCTTCGTGGCGCCCGCCCCCCCCACCCCCAGGATGGCTTCTTGTGGGCGGAAAAGTGTGCGGCTGTGGCGGCTCCGCGGAGGGGCCCTGCGTTCTTGCCCTGTGGACCTGGGGGAGTACCATGCGCTGTACTTCACTGACCTCACCTTCAGTCAGGGTCAGGATGGGCCACATACGCTGTAAGCCTGCATCTGCCGTGGACAGTGGGCCGTACAGCAAGCCCATCTGTCCCTGGGACTCCCTGCCCTTCCCTATGTAGCTCCCAGTGCGCCCCACCCCTTCCCAGTGCACCCTGCCCCTTCCCTGTGCTCCCTGCCCTCTCTGAGACCCGCCCCTTCCCTGTGTAGTTCCCAGTGCGCCCCGCCCCTTCCCTGTGTAGTTCCCAGTGCACCCCGCCCCTTTAACCCCTGTGAGCCCTGCTTTTTCCTTTGAGCCCTTTGCCTGTCCTCTGTGAGCAGCTATGTGAGTAGCCGGAGCGGCCACATACTGGAGGTCGATATCCAGCACATGGTCGTGCGGCACGCCCGCCGCCTGCTGCCCGTGAAGCCCCCTGGTGGCCCCCACCCACAGAAGGCCACCTTCACTTCAGGTAGGTGGGCACCCATGCCCTGGTTGGAAAGCTGGGAGTCAGTGAATGTCATCTTGTGAAGTAACTGTTGGTGTCATCTCAGCCCCCTCCCTCCCTCCCCCTTTGGTCAAGGTAAGGAGCTTCTTTTTAGCCCAGTAACAGTGCCCCGAGAGTCAGCTGATGTTTTACCTGCCCTGGCGGCCCTTCTCAATTTGGCATCGCCCAGTGTGGCCACTGGCTGCGTGCCCCTGATACCTCTGCCGTCTGTAGGCCCTGGTGTGACCATCAGCAGCCTTAGTGTCTCCCCAGCCTTGTGCGCTGTTGGTTCGGAGGACTGTTATCTGCGTCTCTGGCCCCTGGATTTCTCTGCCGTCCTCCTGGAAGCAGGTGAGGTCCCAGGACCACCTCGGACCTGTGTGTGCTGGAGACTGTCTTCGGGTCAGGGTCAGGCGTGGGATTGCTGTGTGGGGCCAGACAGGCAGGGCTCAGTCCTGCACCTTACCCTTGCTGAGTGGGGGTTGGAGGGTGATGATTGGCAGGGGCCTCCATCCTCCCTGGCTTACATCTGCCTGGTGGTCACCTGCCCCTCCTGCCCACAGAGCATGAGGGCCCAATCAGCTCGGTCCGGTTTAGCCCTGATGGCCTGCGTGTACTGTCCACCACCTCCACGGGCCACCTGGGCTTCCTGGATGTGGTGTCCCGTGAGTACAGCGTGCTGGTCCGCTCACACGCTGCCTCTGTGCTGGCCTGTGCCACGGCTCCCGGCCGAAGACAGCTTGCCACAGTCGCCAGGGACAACAGCGTCTGCATCTGGGACCTGGAGACCCTGCAGCAGGTGGGGGCCTGGTGGGAGGTAGGAGGGGGTGCTCAGCCTGACGTGGACAGGGTCCAGCCCTACTTCTCCCCTGTAAGTTCCACCCTCACCTACAAGCCCTGCCCTTCACTTGGCCTGTCTGCCTCCAGCTATATGACCTCACGTCTCCTGTTGAAGCCCCATGTGCGGTGACCTTCCACCCAACACAGCAGACTCTGTTCTGTGGTTTCTGTAGCGGTGCTGTGCGGTCCTTCAGCCTGGCGGCTGCAGATGCACTAATAGAACACAGGTGCACATGTTTTGGGGGTTCTGGGGCGTGGGGTATTAAGTGGAGAGGGGCTGTCACGGGAATCCTGACATTGCTCCAAGCCCCTAACCTGGTCCGTGTGGTACAGACGACACCGGGGAGCCGTGACGAGCCTGGCTGTCACCCCCGACGGCAGCTTCTTGTTCAGCACCTGTTCTCAGGGCATCCTGGCCCAGTACGACTGCGTGGGTCCCCGGTGCTCCGTCCTCCGTGTGGCAGGTCAGGTCCCCAGCTCCCTAGGCTGTGTGGCCTCCCATGTTCCTGGGTCTTTAGGAGGCACACTGTACAACACGGAGGAGGAATGCCCCAGCTGACCCCGTGCCCCATGCCACCCCAGGAAACATGGTATGCCAGGACACCTGGCCCAACCCCAACGCCCTGGCGGTCAGCAGGGACAGCTGTTTGCTGGCCTTCGTGGGTCCCTCCAAGCACACAGTGACCATAGTGGGCACAGCCTCCCTGGATGAGGTCAGCAGCTAGGGCCTCCTGTCTCCTGGGGTAGAGTGGGGCGGGAGGTCAGTCCCATCTGAACCCTACCTTGGCTACGCAGCTCCTTGGGGCACTTACTAGGATTCCCTTTAAACCATGTGAATGTGAGGGTCTCGGGGGGCAGGGAAGACATGCCCAAGGCCTGGCTGGACAGGGTTGGGGATGGAGTCTCAGGTATGTGATCTGACCCCCACACTTGCTGCCCAGCTACTACGGGTAGACATCCGTGTCCTGGACCCAGCTGGCAGCCACCAGGACTCAGCTGTGGCCATCTGTTTCGGACCCCTGCCCACTGGCCACCTTCTAGTATCCACCTCCTCCGCCAAAGTCCTAGTGCTGGATTCCCAGTCAGGACGCACCATCCGGGAGGTGAGCCCCAGGGCACCGTTGCCCTTACTCCCCTAGGAAGACTGAACCCCCAGGTCCCCGTCCTCAGTCAGTCCTTCTCCACTTGAGTGCTCATCCCCAGCTGTCTGGCGTCCACCCCATGGCCTGCTCCTCCCTGGCTCTTAGCGAGGATGCCCGCCTCCTGGTGACAGCTGGTGATCGGGCCATCAAGGTGTGGAAGTCACCCACAAAGGTGCATCCCGGCTGCCAGGTGTGTGTCCGGCAGGAAGGTGGGGGAACTCCAGAGAGTCTCTTTATGGGGTCCTGGGGCTTCCCTGGTTGGGTCTCCACCTGGCTGAGTCTCAGAGTCCCTCCTGTGTGGTACCCACCCTTAGGTGTTCATCGGACACTCGGAGCCTGTGCAGGGAGTGTCCTTCACCCCTGACCAGCAGCAGGTCCTCAGCGTGGGGGACACAGTCTTCCTCTGGGACATTCTGGCATCCCCCAAGACGGCACCCCAGCACAGGTAAGTGTCCCCCTGCTCTTCATGCCTACCTGCCGCAGTACTATCTCGACCCCTGGCATTTCTCTCTTTGCTGCTGTAGAGTCCCAGGCTCAGCCAGGCCCCACCCAGCCTCGGACGCAGGTGAGTGGTTGGTCCGAGGGGGATATCGGCTCCAGTTCCTTCCTGTCGGCCCTGATCAGTCCCCTAGCTCCCCACAGGTCCTGCCATGTCCCTGAGCACTGCCCACTCAGGACTCCTCTCTGCTAGGACTGGACACTGCCCAGCAGGAAGACGTGGGCTCCCGGGCCGCTGGGCTTCCCCGGTGCTGGGTCCCTGTGCCATCCCAGGCCTCCCCGCCCCGGTTGGCCATCAGTGCCACAACTCCCGAGGGCAGTGATGGTAAGGGGTAGGGGCCCCCATGGCCTGTGGGGGGGTGCCTGTGGACTCCACTATGACTCCACTCTGCCCCTCCCCAGGGGTGTCCTCCATGTCTGATGAGGAAGGACCCAACAAGGAGGGTCCCTCCGCCGGGCCCTTTGAGGCCCCATGCCCTCTTGGACGGGTGGAGAAGAAAGCCAGAGGGGCTGTGTCAGAGAAGGTAACAGGGGGGCCTTGGGCGCATGGAGAACCCACCTGCCCCCACAGCCAGCCTGGTGAGTTCTGGAGGGCCAGCAGAAGGTGGGTGGTGAGTTTCTGACACAAGTGCCTGAAGTGGTCGGGTGTGGGCGTGGGTATGGCCAGCAGGAAGGAGAGCTTGTCCACCTGCACCAGGTGTCAGCAGGTGCGTCCTCTGCTCCCTGGGGTCCTTCCCTGTGGGACTATGGAGGCTTTGAGTGGATCTGCCCTCCCTCTGTCCAGCAGGTGCTGACAGACCCAGGGGTGCTTCTGTCTCCTCTGCCCCCCGCCCCGATTCCTACAAACACTTTGTAGCTCGCTTCAAGGCCTCCTGGCTCTCCAAGGTAGGTCTCAGGGCCACGGGGGGGACAGACACCCAGGGGCACATCACTCCTGGACAGGAGGGGCGTGACCCAAGTCGGGGGCTGTGTGAGCTGGAAAGGGTCAAGGTGACCATGCTGGACATGCCATGGCCTGGAGTCCTGTTCCACAGAGCACCCTCTTCCCTGCGGCTGGTATGGAGCAGCTGTACCTGAAGGCTGTCGTGGGCTATAACGGGAATGGCCGTGACAACATGGTGTGGAGGCCGGACACAGGTGGGCCCAGTCCCTCACCACTGCTCCTCAGGCCAGTCCACACCAGGGCAGAGACGGGCCTGCCGGGCCGACGCCACCAACAGCCCTCTGTCCTTCAGGCTTCTTCGCCTACACATGCGGCTGTTTGGTGGTGGTGGAGGACCTACACTCTGGCTCCCAGCAGCACTGGATTGGCCATCCCGAGGAGGTGTCCACACTGGCTCTCAGCCATGATGCTAAGGTGCCCACTACCCAGTGCCCCAGACAGCCAGGTGGGCTGCCAGTCCTACCTGCCCGCTGACCACGCCTGCCCCTACCAGGTACTGGCCTCTGCCTCGGGCCGAGGCGCTGAGACAGCCCGTTGCCAGATCCGCATCTGGGATGTGTCCACGGGTACCTGCTGCAGACTCCTCTCTCACCATGATTCTGCTGTCCAGGCTATGGTCTTCTCGCCGGATGATGGGCTCCTCGTCACACTGGGTCAGTGGGGGCCGAGTGGACCTGGGGACAGGCTCCAGGGTCTTGCCTTGGTGCTGACATGGCTGCCCACCTGCCCATCTCCACAGGCGACTACAGAGACTGCACCCTGGCCGTGTGGAGCACAGCCACCTACGAGCTTGTGTCGTCCATCCGCCTCCGGGAGCCAGTACATGGTGTGGCGTTCGGTCCTTGGGAAGCCGCTGAGCTGGCCTGTGTGGGCCGCGGTACTGTCACCTTTTGGCTCCTGCAGCAGCATGGGGCAGACATTCGTCTCCAGGTGCCCAGTGTCAGGCATGGGGCTGGGGGCGGGATCTGGCTGGCAGGGCCCGGCAGTGGCTGACCACACCTGCCCACACAGGTGCACCGTGAGCCAGTCCCTGCGGAGGTGGGGGCCAGTGAGCTGACTGCACTGTGCTTTGGCGCGCCCCCTCTGCTCTATTGCGGCTCCAACACCGGTCAGGTGTGCGTCTGGGACGTTGGCTCTGGCCGCTGCTTCCTGGTCTGGGAGGCCGATGAGGGCGAGATCGGTGGGTCCCAGAGCCCAACGCCAGGTGGTGGGTTAGGGTCCCATGGGCATCAGGGTAGGCGCTAACTGTCCCTTGTCCCCAGGAGTGTTGGTGTGCCCCGGGGCACGGCTGGTCACTGGCAGCAACACACGACGACTTCGCTTGTGGGCCGTGGGGGCCGTGCCTGAACTGAGGCTGAAGGGCTCTGGGGCCAGGTGCGAGTCCCAGGAGGGTCAAAGAGGGAACATGCCCATGGTGCTGGGCCCTGGGAATGTCTGGCAGCCATGATCACAGCTGCCCCTGCATGCCTGCCTGCCCCAGGTCTAGGACGGTCATCCTAGAGCGTGAGCTGGTACTGGACGGGGCCATCGTGAGCGCTGCCTTTGACAACCGTGTGGATATGGGCATTGTAGGCACCACAGCGGGCACACTCTGGTACGTCAGCTGGGCCCAGGGTACCAGCAACCGTCTAGTCAGCGGTCACAGGAGCAAGGTATGATCTCCTCCCTACACACACACACACGCACACACACACACACACACAAGTCTGCCCATCCCCTGCTTGCCCCAACACATCTGCTCTCCTCTGGCACACAGGGATTGGGGGGCATAGTCACCATTACCAAGTTGAAAGGAGACTCACTGGGGGTGGTCTGGCCCGTCTTAACTTCTGTTGCTAGACTATCGAGTTGTGGGTTTAGTCGGGGTGGTTTTGTACCTGAGGGACAGTTTGTGCTGTGACACGTCAGGACACTGGGGGTAGGTAGGTAGGTGGTGGCCCTCAGCTGGCCTTGTCCGCAGGTGAACGAGGTGGCCTTCAGCCCTGATGAGTCCCACTGTGCCACCTGTGGTGAGGACGGGAGTGTGCGCGTGTGGTCCTTGTCCAGCATGGAGCTAGTGATCCAATTTCAGGTGCTGAACCAGGTGTGTGGGGACCCGAGGGCTCAGGTGTGGAAGGCTGCCTGCTTAGGGCCTAGGTGGGTACTGATGCCTCCCTCACACATCTCCAGAGTTGTCTCTGCTTGGCTTGGTGCTCGCCATCCTGTGGACAGCTGGGGCCACAACAGCTGGTAGCCGGCTACAGCGATGGAACTGTGCGAATCTTCAGCGTCTCACGAACCGAGATGGAGCTTAAAATGCACCCGCATTCATCTGCATCCACTGCTGTGGCCTTCACAGCCGATGGTGAGGGTGGGCTGAGGGTCAGGACTTGTAGACTTCCTGGTTCAGGTGGAAGTGGGGCCTGATGTGTGTAGGGAGACCAAGTGTCCCCTCCTGGTCCAGGTCAGACCATCCTCTCTGGGGACAAGGATGGGCTGGTGGCCGTGAGCCACTCCCGAACAGGACTGACCGTTCGTGTGCTGAGAAACCACCAAGGGGCCCCCATCTCCACCATCCAGTGCAGATCCAAGGAGGTGAAGCTGCCGGGGAGCGGGGGTGGGGCAGGAAGGTGCTGTGGGAGGCGCTGTGGGCAGGAGGCATCTAGCAGCCCCCCACCTCTCTAGCACGGAGACTGTGGGGTGCTGGATGCAGACCTGTGGCTGGCTGCCAGTGGGGACCAGCGAGTCAGCATTTGGGCAGCTGGCTGGCAGGAGGACCGTTGTGAGCTGGTGGACTGGCTGAGCTTTGCAGCCCCCACACAGGTAATAGGGGTGGTGGGCATCATGGTCGGGTGGGGTAGGGTGGGATGGTGCCCACTCCATCCACCACCGTGTATGTATTCTGTAGCGGCTGGGCCACCCGCCGCCCACCCTTGCAGCCTTCTGTCCGTGGGACGGTGACCTGCTGGTGTGTGCCGGCCTTGGCCCAAGGGAAGAGCTGCTTCTATACAGCCTACGTCAGAAGCAGGTTGGTACGTGCCCAGCATCTGCTGGACAGTGCAGGGCAGGGACTGGGGTTGACTGTAATCGCCAACAGGTGGTGGAGACAATCCCGCTGCCCTTTTTTGCTGTGTCCCTGAGCCTGTCCCCAGGAGCCCGCCTTGTGGCTGTTGGCTTCGCCGGTGAGTGCTGTATCCTTGAGGTTCAGGGGTGCCCTGAGTGGAGGTGGGGTGGAGCCTTCTGCCCTAGGAGCTGCCTCAGCACTGAGGCCTATACTGTCCACACAGAGCATCTGCTGAGGCTGCTGGACTGTGAGTCGGGCCTGGCACAGGACTTTGCTGGCCACGATGACACGGTGCACCTCTGCCGGTTCTCTCCATCCACTCGGCTTCTCCTCACAGCAGCTCACAACGCGATTCTGGTGTGGGAGGTCTTGGCTGCTGAGGCCCAGAGGCCGCAGTGCCCGTATTCCTGTGTGGGGTCTCCTCGGTGACAGAACAGAGGCTTGGGGTCACCAGTGAAGTGGCCGTGTACATGGGGAGACTCAGGGCCATGTCTGTGACCAAGACCAGCTGCTCTGAACTTTGGGACCTGAGAACTGAAATACTGGGAGCTTCTCACCTGGAGTTTAAACATTTCTACCTTATACGATTCAATAAACATGGTGTTGCAGTTGGCTGCTCAATCCACGCATGGCCCTCACCTGACGTCCCTCCCTCAAGTAGGGCCACTGCACCCCAAGTGCCCTCTGTGCTGGGACAAGTCCATCCATCTCAGAGAGGAGTATCCCAGCTTGGCGCCTGCAGTGCTCGGCGTCACCGCGCGGTGGCGATGCCGTACATTCTGGCCACTCAGGCCCGTCCGACTCGCTGGTGCAGTTTCTGTGCCGGGGACCGGAAGTGCGCTGTGCAAGCCGGAAGTGGCGCGGGGGCGGGGATCGGGTCGGGGCCAGGGTCCCAACTAGGATTGATACCGGGTTTGGGTTGGGGAAGGGTGGGCCAGCGTGGGGCCGGGGCTGTAGCCATGAAACGGGACGTGCGCATCCTGTTGCTGGGAGAGGGTAGGCCCTCGGGACGGGGTCAGGGGTCTTGGAGCCCCTGGGGGAGGGACGGGGTCTGGCCTGGACGCGGCCAGGGTGTGGGGAGCGCTGTGACCTTGGTGCCGTCTTGCTGACCGCTCTGCCCTGCGCAGCCCAGGTGGGGAAGACGTCCCTGATCTTGTCGCTGGTGGGCGAGGAATTTCCCGAGGAGGTAAGCTGCCGGGCCAGGCGGGAGCCCCGCGTGCTGGACACCCGGTTCTGCAGCGAGGAATTCAGGGACAGCACCTGAGGCGGGACCCAGCCTGTCCCTCAGGGTTTGTCCGGTGAAGCCCCTCACGATCCACTGTACTGCACGCCGGCTTGTCTGCCCCAGGTCCCTCCCCGCGCGGAAGAAATCACGATTCCTGCAGATGTCACCCCCGAGAAAGTGCCCACTCACATCGTGGACTACTCAGGTAACGCCTGTCACCCCTAGCCCTGGACTTTGCCCAGGGTAAGCGGCTTGGGGGGTCGGGGGTCGGTCTGCAGTGAAGTCTGTACCTTCCTCCGTCTAGAAGCAGAGCAGACGGCGGAGGAACTCCAGGATGAGATCCACAAGGTGCGCTGCGTGCGCGGGGTCCAGAGGGCGAACGTTTCAGGAGCCGCGTTTGGCTGCAGCAGCCCGGTTCCCGTGTCTTGTCCAAAGATGCACCCTGTCGGAGTGGACACTGGGAGTCCATGCTTCTGGGGCCACAGTGACCCCTATGTGGCAGTGGACAGTGTGGACAGCAGAAGGGAGTCTGGCACAACCCCACTGTAGCCGCTGGTATTCGAGGAAAGGGTTGGATCTTGGACATCTTTTCCCTTGTCATAGGCTGCCTGTGTCAGTTTAGGCTGGGCCCTGGCATCTCTGGTGCTGGGCAGGGCAGGGTTGGGTTTTAGGTGTCCAGTCATAGGTGGATGGGGGGCAGGGCTGGGACAGTCATTTCTCATTCCACAGGCAAACGTGGTGTGTGTGGTATATGATGTCACTGAGGAGACCACCATTGAGAAGGTGAGTCAGGGTCTTGCCCCTAGGCTCAGCTGCAGACCTCTGCACAGACGGGTATGGTGAAGGTGGGATGCTTCTTAGCACCGAGGGAGGAGCTCGCTCACTCACAGTCCCTTCCTCTTAGATCAGAACCAAGTGGATCCCGCTGGTGAATGGGAGGTCCAACCGGGAACCCAGGTAATGGGGCGGGGAGTGGCAGTCATGCCTGCCTGGGCCACACCATTCTTCATTCCCGGTGACTGGGGGTCTACCCCCCAGGGTCCCCATCATTCTGGTGGGCAACAAGTCAGATCTGCGGCCAGGGGGCTCCATGGAGGCTGTGCTGCCCATCATGACTCAGTTTCCTGAGATTGAAACTTGCGTGGAGGTGAGCAGGTACCCAGGTGGACTAGGGGAAGCGTCTGGTACTGGGGCTGGAGGCGGAGGTGGATCCCCGACCTGTGCTCAGGATAGCATCCCTAGGGTGCCCCATTCTTCCCAGTGCTCGGCCAAGAATCTCAGGAACATCTCGGAGCTGTTCTACTACGCCCAGAAGGCCGTGCTGCACCCTACAGCCCCACTCTACGACCCCTTAGCCAAGCAGGTTTGGAACAGGCAGGGGTCGGGCAGGGGTGAGGGACACACGGTGGGGGAAGCCGACGTGCTGAGCTGGTGTGTTTGCAGTTGCGGCCTGCATGCGTCCAGGCTCTCACACGGATCTTCCGACTGTCGGACCGGGACCTAGACCAGACCCTCAGTGATGAGGAGCTCAATGCCTTCCAGGTGGGGCCCCGGAAGTCCACGGTGCCTGGCCTGGGTGGTGGCCAGCTGATCTCTGATTAATACCAAGTTTCTTTCTGAGATAGAAGTCCTGCTTCGGGCACCCCCTGGCCCCACAGGCCCTGGAGGATGTAAAGATGGTGGTGAGCAAGAACGTGGCAGGCGGCGTGCAGGACAACCGGCTGACGTTAGATGGTGAGGCTGGATTGCCTGCTGGTGTGGGGTAGTGGCAGAGCTGGTCATTGGCCTAGCTGTCAGACTCCTGTCCCCTTGGCACAGGCTTCCTGTTCTTGAACACACTGTTCATCCAGCGTGGTCGCCACGAGACAACCTGGGCCATCCTTCGGCGCTTTGGCTACGGTGACACACTGGAACTCACAGACGACTATCTCTTCCCCCCGTGAGTGCGTCGCTTCCGCCAGCTGTTGGCTCTGCAGGAGCCCACTAGAAAGCCGTGCAGACTTCAGCCAGGCTTCCCCACACCAAGCAGATGGCCCCGCACAGATGACGGGATGGGGTGGGGAGAGCCCCTGTGTAGGCTCTGGGGACAGGCCCTCTCTCCGTCCACAGGCTCCTGGTGCCTCCAGGCTGCACTGCTGAGCTCAATCACTTGGGCTACCAGTTCCTGCAGAGGGTGTTTGAGAAGCATGACCAGGTGAGGGCCAGAGCAGCCTGCCGCCCTGCCCCCATGCAGCCCCTCTGCCCCCTCGCATCACTGCTCCTCTGCCCAGGACCACGATGGTGTGCTGTCGTCCTCGGAGCTCCAGAGCCTCTTTAGTGTGTTTCCAGCGGCCCCCTGGGGCCCTGAGCTGTCTCATGTGGTGTGCACTGCACCTGGTGGCCGGCTCCCTCTGCGTGGCTTCCTCTGCCGCTGGACGTAAGTGCATTCCTCACTGCCCACTTGGCCCATTCTGCCCCACCCTTCCCGGCCTGGCTGTAACTCACCCACTTGCCCCCAGCCTGGAGACCTACCTGGATGTCCGGTGCTGCCTTAGCCACCTCGGCTACCTGGGCTATCCCGTTCTTTCTGAGCAGGCCTCCCAGGTCCACGCTATCACAGGTGCACCACCCTCCCCGCCTCCCCTTCACTGGTGGGTCCCTGGTACCCTGTGCCTGCCAGCCCCTCATCACTTGCCTGCCCATCTGCAGTCACCCGTGAGAAGAGGCTGGACCAAGAGAAGGGGCAGACACAGAGACACGTTCTTCTGGGCGAGGTGGTGGGGGCGCATGGAGTGGGCAAATCTGCCTTCCTGCGAGCCTTCCTCGGCTGGAGCCTGGGGGTCAGGGTCCCCTTCCTTGGTGGGAGCTGGGGGGGGGGTGCGAGTGTCCTGTGGGCTGTGGGGTCCCCTTCCTCTGCGGGAGCTGGGGGGGGCAAGCGTCCTGCAGACTGTCGGGTCGGGGTCCCCTTCCTCGGCAGGAGCTGGGGGGGGCGGTGAGCGTCCTGTGGGCTGTGGGGTCCCCTTCCTCTGCGGGAGCTGGGGGGGGCGGTGAGCGTCCTGTGGGCTGTGGGGTCCCCTTTCTCGGCGGGAGCCCGGGGGCAAGTGTCCTGTACTGTCTTGCTGCCCCAGCACCAGGAGTCCCCTGCGGAGCCGTGTGAGCACGCCATCAACACAGTGCACGTGAACGGGCAGGAGAAATACCTGATAGTAAGTTCAGGGTGTGGGTGGGGGCCTGTCTTGTGTCCCGACGTGGCCTTCCCATCCCCACCGGCAACCTTCTGAGCCCACCTTGTATCTGCAGCTGCGTGAGGTGAGCGCAGACAGCCTGCTGGACGCCCCTGTGGACACCACCTGCGACGTGGCCTGTCTCCTGTTCAACAGCAGTGACCCCACGTCTTTCGAGTTCTGCGCCAGGGTCTACAAGGCAAGGTGGTGGGCACGGGGCTTTGTTCGGCCGCCGTCCTGTGGCCTGTGCTTACACTGTGTTTTTCCACAGCACCGTTACCTGGATGGGCAGACCCCCTGCCTCTTTGTCTCCTCCAAGGCCGACCTGCCTGAGGGCATGGTGCTCCCTGACACGTCCCCAGCCGAGTTCTGCCGTAGACACCGGCTGCCTGCCCCCACTCCGTTCTCCTGTGCTGGCTCAGCTGTACCCAACGCTGCCATCTTCAGCCGGCTGGCCACCATGGCCACTTTCCCGTGGGTACCAGCCCCACAGTGCTGGGCCGGTCCTGAGTGGGTCAGGGTGGGGCTCAGAGGCCTGGCCACCAGCTCTCCGCCTGGGAGTTGTGCTGCGGGAGGAGGGAGATGGGCTGACCTCATGGGCTTCTGGCTCTCTGGGTCCAGCTTTAAGGGATGGTGGGTGGGGTCCTCTACGGAGGAAAGTAGAGTGGGGGTTTCTCCTACAGGCACCTGGTCCACGTGGAGCTTCATAATACCTCCTGGCTCCGGATGCTGTTGAGGGCTGCGGGGGCTGCCCTGGTGGCTGTCCTCAGCCTGTCCCTGTACAGGGCCCTGGTGAGGAGCCGATGAGGCCCACCACCACCTCGGCCTGCCATACTGGTCCACAGCCCAAGGTGCTGCCCCGAGGATGCCTCGTGCTTGGACCTTTCACTCCCAGGTCATCTGCCCAGGGACCAGCTTCCCCAGCCCTACCTGAGGGAACCCCCTTGCCAGGCAGCCGGAACCCTGCCACTTGTTGGGCATCGTGTGTTGGGGTGACTAGGGGCACAGGTGAAGAAGCCAGTGATGAGAGTTCTCAGGGCCCAGGTGGTCAGAAGTTAAGGGCAGACAGGAAGTTGTGGGACCTCAGTGTCAAACTCCCTGGGGTCTGTGTGAGCCCACCCTTCATGCTGTGGAGACAGAAAACAAATCTTTGATTAAACTTCAGTTGTTTTTTCACCTCTCGGTTCCCGGGCCTTTTAAGGCCGTTCTTCTCGACTCCACCTAAAACTCATCTTTTGGGGTAGCTAGAAATGCACGTTGCTGGCACCCAGTTTCAGAGGTCTTAGTGGGCGCCTCCCGTCAAGGCCATGTAATATCTACCTGAGGCCCGGGGCAGGGACACAGTCCACGTCGTGAGGGAATGCGGTGATAGTGGGGAAGCCATCCTCTAGTCTGCGGCCTGGCTGAACCAGTCACCCACTTGTGCTGTGCCATGCCCAGACCTGTCCTCCTCACACCTTAAGAGGGCTGGTCACAGCTCCCAGGTTGACGGGAACCTAACCCAGAACCGGGAACCTAACCCAGAACCAGAAACCTCAGGGTTGGAGGGAGGGGCTAGGGACAAAGGCACCACAGGTGGACTGTGTCCTCGCCCCATGCTAGGTGTCAGGCAGATTGTGCCGGACCACATCTGACTCAGGAGGGTTGGGGGTGGGGTGGGGGGACAGGCCCCTCCTGGCCCTGGTGGGCTATCCCTCTCCCAGGCCAGTCACGGTCCCATGGGCCTGGAACAGGTCTAAGGCAAGATGCTTTTCTGGCTGCCTGGATCCCCAGAGGTCACACAGCTGCCAAGAATGGCAGGTTCAGCATATCACTGCAGCAGCCTCAGCCTGTGAATTGATATGGCCCTTAGGAGAGGAGAGTTGCTATGGTTACCCATTCCCTTGGTCTGTATCATTACCATTATATGAGGAGTCAGCCACCTTGCCTTCATCAATCCTAGCCATAACCCTGCCCACCTAGGGTTCTGCCCAGGTGCCCGTGGGTCAGTCTGAGCCCTCCCCCACCGGCCCCCTGGGGCTGGAGACTCGGCTCTCCATCAAGGTGGCCTCAGTGGTGTTGGGCGCCTCCAGTTCAGGTGTGCGCGGTGCCGGGCGCCATCCTTTCTGCACACTAGCTGCACTGCGGGGTTTAGCGCCCAGCACTGGGGGTCTGTGTCGGCCACGTGAAGTCAGTCAGTAGGGGGAGCCAATGAGCCGCGAGGGAAATGCAGGCCGTGGCCTGGGGAGTCTCCGGTGGTGAGGGAAGCGGGAGGTCGCAGGTGCGCGCTAAAGATGGGTTTGGACTCGCGTCAAGACTTTCCTAGGCGCTGCACACGGGAGGGCCAGGGCCCGACCTGAGCACGGCGGAGGCGCGGGTGTCCGGCTCGCAGGGACTGGTGCTTGGCGCGTCCGTCCACGGGCGGGGCTGCGGGGCGCGCGCGTGTCCCGGCGCGCGTGCGGCGGGGGCGGCGGCTCCGTGACGCGGCCCGGAGCTCGGCGGCGAGCAGAGCAGGCGGAGCGGGCCGGCGGGGCGGAGCGGAGCGGTCCGCAGAGCAGCCCCTCCGGCCGCTGCCGCCCACCGGCCCCCGGCCCGGATCTATGGACAGGAGCTCGCTGCTGCAGCTCATTCAGGAGCAGGTGCGTGCCGGCAGGCGGCGCCCCGAAATGCCGCGGCCGCTAATGCCCCCGCCCCTTTCTGTGCGACCTTGGCCCTGTGCGGGAGACCCCAGGGAAGGGCTGGCCGCGGGGCACGGGGAGAAAGGCGGGTTCTACGCTTGGACCTGGGCCGACCTTTCCTAGCGGGCTGGTGAGAGTTGGGAGGCCCCCTCGTAGCCCCTCTCGGGACGGTTTGGGACAAGGTGCGCTGACCTGGCTCGGCCCTGTGATGTGGGGCCGGCCCCTCCACCTCCAGCAGCTGGACCCCGAGAACACAGGCTTCATCGGTGCAGACACCTTTGCTGGCCTGGTACACAGCCATGAACTGCCCCTGGATCCTGCCAAACTGGACATGCTGGTGGCCCTGGCCCAGAACAACGAGCGGGGCCAGGTCTGCTACCAGGAGCTGGTGGACCTGGTCAGTGCCACTGGGGGGAGGGGTGCCCAGGCCCAGCTAGAGGGGGTGACATTGGAGCCCACAAGGGAGGAGGGCGGACATGGGGGTTGGGTGGCATAGTGGGCAGGCAGGGGGGTGAGGGTGCCCAAGTCCACACTCAGCCCCACTCCCAGGTCAGCAGCAAGCGTTCAAGCAGCTTCAAGCGGGCCATTGCCAATGGCCAGCGGGCGCTGCCCCGCGACGGGTTGCCGGACGAGTCGGGCCTGGGCGTGTACAAGCGGTTCGTGCGCTATGTGGCCTATGAAATCCTCCCCTGCGAGGTGGACCGGCGCTGGTATTTCTACAGGCACCGGAGCTGTCCGCCGCCAGTGTTCATGGTCTCGGTCACCCTTGTCCAGGTGAGCTCCGCCCGCACCCCCGCTGCCCCTATGCCCGGCGGCCACTCCCCACCTGAACCCCCATCTCCCCAGATCATCGTGTTCCTGTGCTATGGGGCGCGGCTCAACAAGTGGGTGCTGCAGACCTACCATCCCGAGTACATGAAAAGCCCCCTGGTGTACCACCCGGGGCACCGTGCCCGGGCCTGGTGCTTCCTTACCTACATGTTTATGCACGTCGGGTGAGTGGCTCGGGCTCTGTCCTGGTGCTGCATGGACCAGCGCGGGAGGGAAGTGGGCCAGGACGCTACACTACTCACGTTCACACGCCACTCACAAGTTCATGTCTGTCAGCCCATTCGGGGGACCTCCGCGCATGTGCCCCTCAAGACCCTGCCTCACTCCTCACGCCCTTCCCCTCGCGCCCCCACCCCACCCTCACAGACTAGAGCAGCTGGGCTTCAACGCGCTTCTGCAGCTGATGATTGGGGTGCCCCTGGAGATGGTGCATGGGCTGCTCAGAATCAGCCTACTCTACCTGGCGGGCGTCTTGGCAGGTGAGGCAGGTGTGAGCCCCGCCCTCCCCTCTCTGTAGCCTGCCGCTTACAGTCCCTACCTGCTTACACAGGCTCTTTGACTGTCTCCATCACGGATATGAGAGCTCCTGTGGTAGGGGGCTCTGGCGGGGTTTATGCCCTCTGCTCAGCACACCTGGCCAACGTTGTCATGGTAATGGGGTTGCCAGGTGGGGGTTGGGTACTGGAGACGGGGTGGAGAACCTGCCTCACAGCCTCTGTCATCCGTGCCACCAGAACTGGGCCGGGATGCGGTGTCCATACAAACTGCTAAGGATGGTGCTGGCCTTGGTGTGCAGTGAGTAAGGGGGCCTGGCGTGGTGAGGCGGGCGGGGACCCCAGCCTGGGACTGGGGCGTCTCCCACAGCGCCTCCCACCTCCTCCGCAGTGAGCTCCGAGGTGGGCAGGGCTGTGTGGCTGCGTTTCTCCCCTCCACTGCCTGCCTCCGGCCCGCAGCCCAGCTTCATGGCCCACCTGGCGGGCGCGGTGGTGGGCGTGAGCATGGGCCTGACCATCGTGCGTAGCTACGAAGAGCGCCTGGGTGACCAATGTGGCTGGTGGGTGGTACTCCTTGCCTACGGCACCTTTCTGCTCTTTGCTGTCTTCTGGAACATCTTCGCCTATGACCTGCTGGGCACCCATGTGCCCCCGCCGCCCTGAGGGCCTGACCAAGGTGTGGGGTGCAGGCTGCATGTCCACCCTCTCGGAATGTACGTTTCAAGGCTGTTTCTCCCTGGGGGGAGGGGGGACCTATGGCCTAACCAAGTCAGGCCAAACCTTACACCATCCTTGGTTGTACCCTCCCAGGCCTGAGAGGGTGAGGCTGGGTAGGAGGTAGCTCCCGAAGGAGGCCCCGTTCCCCAACCCCAGAACTGTGGTCTGAGCCTTTTTGGAGAATGAATAAATATTTTACACAGGACTGGTGGCTGTACAAGGCTGCACAGACTCACCTGGCCTTCCCACCTGGCACCTGTTGTCTGCCATGGGGCTTGAAAGCCTGCCCTATAGAAAATGGTGGGGTCCCTGCCACCTAGAGAGGGAGCTGTGGCCTCAAGGCCAGCTGTGTGGTTCAGTATGCCTTTACTGAGCTCCAAAGGAGCCGGCCTGTGCCCAGTCCCACGTCGGGAAGCTGGCCCAGCCCACTACTCAGCTCTGTTGGCTGGTGTCTGTGCCTCTTGGGCAGCCTAGCGTCACCTGCTGAGCAGCACAATGTCAGTCCCAGAACCCAGGTTCACAGTGCTGTACCCACTTGGTAAAGGGATTCATGTTCCGAGGCAAAAGGAGACACAGAGGGAGCCTAAGCCCAAGAGGTACTGGCCATTCCTTTCCTGCTCTGGACACCCCACTGGCGAACTGGATGCTATCCTGCCTACTGTCGTCCCCTCCCCTCGGCTCAGCAAAGCTTGGGCTGTCACGGCTGTGGGCAGTGACAGGGCAGACTCAATCTTCACCACACAAGTCCACTTCAAGGCCAGACCTGGCTGGTTTTCCTTCTACCATCAGACATCTATGCTGGGTGAACAAGTAAGGTCACTATGTTCCCCACAATAGGAAGGCACCCAGCCCTGTGACTGTTCCCAACACGCCAGGCAAGGGACGGAAGACAGCGGCTGAGCAATTACCAACTGCTGCAAACAGGACCAGGCCAAGAGAGTTTGGAGGCGGACCTCTGAGAAGACCCGCCCCCAAACAGAAGGCCACGCCCTGCGGAAAGTCCCGCCTCCGGAGGACGCTCCGCCCCTGGAAGAAGCCCGCCCTCACTTGGGAGTTCCCACGCCCCCAGTTCCTCTCGTGTCAGCTGCTTCTCAGGGTCTCCGATGGCCGCAGGCAGCTCCTCCCCATATCTGGGGAAGTACGAAGATGGGGTCACAGGGAGAAATCGCGCTTACCAGTCTCCCTTCTGTCCGCTAAGCCCTCTACCAACCTACCACCGCTCCAGGGCCTCCAGCCGGTCTCAGAGACCCAAGTGCACCCGCAACACCTCCCCACGTCGCGCCAGGACGGCGGCCCAGCTCCTCACAACCCCTACCAGGGGCGGGGTTTCGCCGGGCAGGGCGGGGCCGGGGCTGGAGTAGGCGTCTCAGAGGGAGGCCGAACACCCGACCGCTGCGGTGAAGCCGGTTCTGTATGAGACTGAGGGGTGGGGCCAAGTCATCGGGAAGCGGGCCCAAGGGTGGGGTGGGGGGGGAAATGCCGGGGCCTCAGAGCGGTGGCCATCACTCCGAAGTCCCAGGCGAGCCCCGCCCCACTACCGAAATCCGGCGGACGCACGCGCGGCCCCGCCCACTTCACGCGCCCATCTGCTGTCACCACTCCGTGCAACCGGAAGTTCCGGTGGCCGATAGTTGGATTGGGCCCGAGCGGATCGTGGGCTTCGGCTGCGGGCGCAGGGCGGGCCGGGCGTGGAGCCTGGGCCGTGCCGCGCGGCGCCATGAAGGGCAAGGAGGAGAAGGAAGGCGGCGCGCGGCTGGGTGCTGGCGGTGGAAGTCCGGAGAAGAGTCTGAGCGCGCAAGAGCTCAAGGAGCAGGGCAACCGGCTCTTCGTGGGCCGCAAGTACCCGGAGGCAGCGGCCTGCTACGGCCGCGCCATCGTGAGTGCGCCTGGGTCGGGGAGGGGGCGGGCCCCGCCTTCAGCCTCCTGGCCGCTTCCCATCCCTAAGTCACAGGCTCTGAGGACTGATGATCTTGTTCCAAGGGGGCCAAGGCCAAGGTTCTGGAGCGCAGCTGAGCATGGTGGGTGGGGCGAGTTTTCAGGGGGTTTGAGGCATTCCTTGGTCTCCTGCTCCAAAGTAGGGGTCACCACCGACAGGTCTGGAAACTTACCTTTACAGAGTCAGCCGAGGTCAAGGTCGGCATGTTCAGGCAGGCATTTGGTCCAGGACAGACCCTTCAGGAAGGGTGGACATCCAGCGACTTTGACTAGATTCTAGCCATGGCCCCAAGGCTGGGACAGGACCTGGGGGCATCCGGGATCCCAGACTACAGGGGCAGAGGGCGCAGGCTAAACTCACACCTTCAGACTCTCACGCCGGCTGGTCCGGCCTTGGTCCCCAGACCCGGAACCCGCTGGTGGCTGTGTACTACACCAACCGGGCACTCTGCTATCTGAAAATGCAGCAACACGAGCAGGCGCTGGCTGACTGCCGGCGGGCCCTGGAGCTGGACGGACAGTCTGTGAAGGCCCACTTCTTCCTGGGGCAGTGCCAGCTTGAGATGGAGAGCTATGACGAGGCCATCGCCAATCTGCAGCGAGGTGGACCTGGGGGTGGTGGCAGCGGTAGGCGGTGGGATGCCTGCGCCGGTCTATGGACCGGCCAGCATGTGACCCACAGTCCCCCATTCCCTAGCCTACAACCTGGCCAAGGAACAACGGCTCAACTTTGGTGATGATATTCCTAGCGCTCTTCGCATTGCCAAGAAGAAGCGCTGGAACAGCATCGAGGAGCGGCGCATCCACCAGGAGAGCGAGCTGCACTCCTACCTCACTCGGCTCATCGTGGCGGAGCGGGAGAGGTGGGCTGTGGCCTTCGGGCTCTGGCCCCTAAAGTCACTCACGCTTGGGTTGCGTCAAACACAAGGATTTATTGGAGAAGCAGAACACGGGATGTCTTGAGGTTGCAGGGAGTGGAGGTAGGGGTATTCCAAGTTCTGGTGAGACCTATCTGACCAGCACCTGGGTTGTCTCCCAGGGAGCTGGAAGAGTGTCAGCGAAACCATGAAGGTGACAAAGATGATGCCCACATCCGAGCTCAGCAGACCTGTATTGAGGCCAAGCATGTGAGAACACCCACAGTTCCACTTGGGGTCTGTGTGGGCGGCTTGCATGTGAAAGGGGAAGATAGGGCTCTCTGGTCCCCATACAGCAGCTTGTTCCTCTGTAGGACAAATACCTGGCCGACATGGACGAGCTCTTCTCCCAGGTGGACGAGAAGAGAAAGGTGAGGCCAGCCTACCCTTTGGACCTCTGGGTGGTCCCCATGCTGGCTCTTAATCCCTCCTCTTGCACTACAGAAGCGAGACATCCCTGACTACTTGTGTGGCAAGATCAGCTTTGAACTCATGCGGGAGCCCTGCATCACACCCAGTGGCATCACCTATGACCGCAAGGACATTGAGGAGCACCTGCAGGTGAGGCTGAGGCCAGTGGGGCAGGTCCCCGCAGCTCAAGGCCGGGCACTATTTCATCCTGCTGTCCCCACAGCGTGTGGGCCACTTTGACCCCGTGACAAGGAGCCCGCTGACCCAGGAGCAGCTTATCCCCAACCTGGCCATGAAGGAGGTCATTGATGCCTTCATCTCTGAGAACGGCTGGGTAGAGGACTACTAAGGCTGAAGACGCAGAGCTCCTCGTCCCACCTGACCTGGGATGACAGCCCCCAGGCCCTGTACATAGTCTGTGTCCCTGGACCCCCAATGCTCCATTCCAACCTGTCTGTCTGTCTGCTGTTGGGCCCTGGACTGCTCTCATTCTCAGCACAGCCCTTGTCCAGGCAGGTGCCTCCCCACCCACTCCGGGGCCCCAAACAGCAGTGAGGAGGGGCAGGCAGGCCCTCCTTTGCTCCTGTAATAAAATCTGTGAGCACTTCATGGTGTGCGCTGCTGTGTGAAGGGGCCCGGCTGTCAGCTGCCCAGCTACCCCAGGAAGGTAGAGATGAAGACACTGGTGTCCAGGTTAAGGGTGGCATGCCACCACCGGTCAGGAAAATACAGCACCTAGCCGAAAGAAGACACGTGGTTAAGTGAGGGCCTGTGGCTCTGCCCTACTTCCTCGGCCATTCACTGACCTCTCCAGCCTGGATGGTACATTCCAGGGGCCGATCAGAGGATGCCAGCTGGGGATATGTGTCCTGGAGCCAGGCCAGCGTGGTCTTGTTGGGGTGGAACTCAGGCGTCTTCTCTGGGGGATACAGGAACCAGCGCTGGGGGTGGAGGCAGTAGGTCACGCACAAGCCAGAGTCAGTGAGCCCCAGAACTCAGCTCCCAGCCCACACTGACCTTGCGGCCGTAGATGACCTCAGAGAACCCGGGCCCATGCCAATGGAAGGGCACACCAGAACCGGCTCCTACAGAGTCGGGGTGATTAGTGGCCATGCCTGTCTTCCCCCTTGATGCCCCATAAATCTCAGGACCCCAGAGGGATGCCCACCTGCTACTCCAAAGCTGTAAGCAGGGGTGGTGCCCAGCAGACCAAAGGGGGGTGGGGAGTAGTGCCGGAGGAGAGGCGCCCATTCAGTGAAGTTGTTGTCCCCAAAGAAGTATAGGGTATCTGTGGACAGAGGGGACCCGGGAGACAGGGAACCTGGTCTTGGCCTCCCAGGTACGCGCCCTCCCCCCCACCCCATACAAACTGCCACCCAGGTGTGGCTCACCATTGCCCAGGGAGGCGGGGTCTTGGGGGTGTAGCAGCTGCTCCACATACTCTTGGAAGAGCATGTCCACTGTAAGGAAAGGACCATGAGGGCCAGTTGGGCCTGCCTCCTCCGGGGGTGGGGGTGGAGTAGCTCACCTTTCTGGTAGGAGAAGGTGTTGGCTGTGCTCAGCCTTACCACGCTGTCCCCAAACAAGGCCAACAGCTTTTCGCGGGAGCACAGGGCCCGGAAGCTCTAAGGAGCGGGAAGAGGGTTTAGCGTCCAGGATCAATGGGGCTGGAACCACCCCAGGAGGCCGCACACTCACCGTGTTGTCTGTGAGGCCCTGCAGGATGACGGGTCTGAGGAAAGCATAGCTGGAAGGAAGGGCAAAGTCACGGCGGGGTCGGCTCATGTCCAGCGTGGGAGATAGCCTAGGGCGGGCAGGCTACTACCACGGCTAGAGCACGAGTGGTCAGGGGTGACGGAGATCACGTACCGCTGCACAAACTCGGCGTAGGTGAGTTCGGCGCGGCGCTCCACTGTGCACCGTTCCTCCTCAGCCACAGCTGTCGGCACCCTCTGCCCACTCCGCTGCCTGTAGTTACAGCGGGATCAGCGGCCGCTCCCCAGTACCCTGCGTGCCCCTGCACGCCCTACGTCCCCAGCCCGCTCACCATCCCCCGTCGCCCGCTTGCTCAGAACCAGACCGTCTCGGAGCCACGGGCGTCCACAACGCCAGCAGCAGAAGCGGCCCCAACATTCGCGCCATGACCCCGCCGCTGCCGCTAACGTCGGGGACCGCCGGGAAGTCGGGCGGTGCTCCACATGAGCCCGCTATTGGCTGAGAAACCCTGTCGTCGTGGCAACAGGAGCAAGTCGCTGGTGTTTGGTCCCGCCCCTCGTAAGGCGGAGCCAAGGTCATCAGAGAGCAGCTATTGGATCTGGCCAGTTATTAGGCCTAGAAATCCCGCCCCACGTTCTCCCGCCTGCCCACCAGCATTGGCGCAGGGACCCAGTGGCTCCGCAGTGCGTTTGTGTGACAGGCAGCCCAGTAGGTTGCTCCTGCATGTTTTATTTGGTTCACAAGTCCCAGCCCTTCCTCCTGGGCACAAAGTCCGGGCAGGGCAGGAGGCATCGAGGCAGGGGCCGACTCAGGGCAGGGGCCGACTCAGGAGTACTCGCAGAGGTGACCGCAGCCGGCGGGACAATGGGAACTGCCTTCCAGCCACTTCATGATGTGTTGCAGGTGGCCACCGTGGCTACAGCCCTGGCACCACACGAACAGGCCCTTGACCACGTGGTGGCAGACGGCGCACATGCTGGCACAACGATGGCACCTGGGGGTGGGAGGCTCCTTCAGTGGAGTTCGGGATTCAGGGCCCACCAGCCACCCTGCCCATGGGTCCGCCCCTGGCCCACCTGCCGCAGACCCAGCCCCGGCCACTCATCGGCCGCTTGCAGTGGCTGCAGTTGACGTGCAGGGAGGTGGAGGCTTGGTTGAGGCAGCTGATAGCACGACTGGTGCTCAGCTTGACCACTTGGTTGGACACGTTCCAGAGCCGGAAACGCTGCAACAGGTCTATGTAGGACGTGTACCAATGCTCCTGGAGAACAGGGAGGGCCGAGGAGAGTCAGGGAGGCCAGGCCAGCTATCTAGCGGCAGGTCCCCCACCTGTCTCTTCTCTGACTAGGGCGCACACCTGCGCCTGCTCGTCGATGTCCTTGCGCACACGCTCCCCGAGCACGATGAGCACAGAAACTGCCATCTGCACATCGCCCTGCTCAGCGTAGAAGTGCAGCATGTCCCGCACGAGGGTGCTGAAGAAGTCGGGCGGCAGGCGGTTGTCGTAAAGGGCATGTGAAACTGAGATCAGGGAGAAGGAGTCCACGGGCGCCAACGACGCCGTGTCTGCCTCGTTGCCACTCACGTGTGGCGAGTCGGCCTTGTCCTGCAGGTGTTCGGGCCCCGGAGGTGTGTCCACTATCTCGTGGCGCAGTGGGAAGGCCTCCTGGGGCAGCACGTACTCGGGCTCATCAGCTAGGGGGCAGGGAGCAGGCGTGGTTTGTTTTGGCACCGCCCCACTCCCAGGTCTGTCCCAGCCCTGCCCGCCTGCTCACTGTGCGTGTGTTCTGGGTCCAGCAGGTACAGTTCCTCCTCATCACCCTCCACATCGCCCAAGAGGTAGTCAGCTGGTACATCACTGCCCTCCGTCTCCTCATTATCTGCCCAGCAGGGGAGGGACAGGCATTGGATGGGGCTCTCTGGAATGCCCCACCCTGCAGATGGCAATGCCCCCCATGCCTACCCTCGTTGGTAATGAGTGTGGCCGAGGAGTCGAGCAGCACTGTGTCGCTCCGGGTGTCGCCCTTGCTGCGGTCAAGCCATGTCTCATTGCCCAGCCCAGGGGCCATTTCTTTGAGGTTGAAGCTGGAGGCAGGAGGGGCTGATGGGTAGGCAGGCATGAGAGGCTCAGGCCCTTCCTCCACCTCTCCAGACAGCCCATTCCACACGCTACCTGCTCATGAGCTGCAGGCCACAGGAGCTGCCCCTACCCACACTGTGGTTGAGGTTGGTGGAGGGCACCAGACCGGGGCTGCAGTAGATGATTCGCAGCATGGTCCACGTCTGAGCCACCTGGAGGCAGGCATTAGTCACCCAAGGGGCTTTGAGCACACTCCCCCATGTGGACAGAACCCATGCTTTCCCAGGTCAGCTGCCCCAGGGAACAAGGAGAATCCCCAACCCACAGCGCAGCAGGGCATTAGTGGGGGTGATGTGATGCTTGGGGAGCCGGAAGCCCTCCAGTCTGTGGTCACGTCCACCCACTCACCTGGTTTCGGCCCAGTTCCCGTGCCACTTTGGCATTGTGGTCACAGAGCTCGGCCAGTGGGCGGCCGGCCAGGGCGTACCGCTGGGCCGTGTCCACGAACCAGCTTATCCCACTGCCGCTGGTCTCTGTCTCAAAGATGCTGAGCGCACTGGAGGCCAGGCCAGCGAAGGGCTCAGCAGGGTCCAACTTGCGCTTGAAAAAGATGGGGTGGCGTCGGTCACCAGCATAGGGCTTGCGGCCCAACTCGGTGGTTACCAGGCTCTCCTTGGCGGCGAAGGCCAAGTCCCCGAAGAGGCCATAGCAGAGGCCCTCGGGGTTGGCTCGCTCCACGGGCTGGCTGGCATCCCGGAACAGGTGTTGGCACAACGTGCTGTCCTTGGAGCCAGACAGCAGGAAGGAGGGGTCATGGGGATGGCGCCAGGCGATGCCTGTTGTGACGTCACGATGCTCCTCAAACATGGCGGCTGGCACAAAGGGCCGGCGCACATCCCACACGTAGATGTTGTGGTCCACCATCATGGAGCAGGTCGCCAGGTGGTGGCGACACTCAGGCCGCCACTTGACACGGGCCACCGACGCGATAGTCTGCACACAGTGCACCTCCCTGGCGCGGGGCGTGGTTACGTCCCAGACCTTCACCATCTTGTCACGGCCGCCGGTGGCCAGCCAGCCCCTGAGAGAGCCCCACCAAATCCTCAGCATCCTGTCCTGTGGGAGGGGGTGTCCCCCAGAACCGCAGCCTCCCACACATGCCCTCAGGGAGTCCTCCCCACAGCAAACCTATCCTCAGGTGAGTGCCCCACACGACACCTTTCCTTTTCCCTTACCACACCTGCTCTCAAGTCATCTCCCTAGACCCCACCTGTCCTCGGGGTGCCAGTCGCAGCAGAAGACAGGTCCGTTGTGGGCTGTAAACATTTTCTCGCAGCGGTCAGGCCGCCGGATGTCCCAAAGCTGCACATTGCCATTCTCAAAGGTGGAGGCGAAGGTGAAGTAGTCCCGGACGCTGAACTGCACATCCCGCACACTCTCAGACTGGCCTGTGGGGGGCCAGCCGTGGACAGGAGGGGCAGAGGCAAGGGAAGGGCCAGTCAGTGGACACACAGATGGCTGAGGACCGATTTCCTGGAGCCCAGAGAGTAGAGTGGACACCACCAGCCCCAGGGACACGGACAGTGGGCCTCTGCTGGCCATCTCATTCCCTTTGACTGGTCAGCCACTCCTGCCCTGAATCCTCCCTCCAGAAAGCCCTGGGGGGCACAGCTCAGGACATCTCAGTAGACAGCCTTCCCGGGCCTGCTCAGACCAGCTGGAACGCCTGGCCCCAGCCCCGAGGGCCTCACCTGAGAAGGTGCTGACCGAATCCTTTCTGCGCAGGTCAAAGCACTTCATGAAGCCGTCCTGGGAGCCACTGAGCAGCATGTGGGCCTCAGTGGGGTGGAAGCTGACCTTGTTCACCGTGCGCTTGTGCTCCGTGAACAGCTGGTCCTGCTTGTTTCGGGACGGCCTGCCCAGGTTCCAAGTAACCACCACACCATTGGTGGCCGCTGTGGCCAGCAGGTTCTCGTCCATCTGGTGCCAGACCACGTCCGCGCAGCTGAGGTTTAGCGAGGGCTTGCGGCCCACGCGCAGGTTCAGCTTCTCCACAAACTGCTCTTCCTCAATGGCGTACACCTTGAAGATGCTTCGGCCGGCCACCACCACCTGGGCTGCATCCCGGCACACGCTGATGGCGTTCGCTGGAGCGTCCAGGTGGCAGTGCATGGTGCGGCCCGTCAGTACACTGCCGCCCAGGGCCGTGGTCACTCGAGACATCTTCTCCATAGTTGCACAGATGGCTGGGACAGAAGGCCTGGTCGAGTCGGGGGGGTGTTCCTTTCAGTTCTGACCCTTCACACCAGCTGGGCTCCTCAGGACTGCGCAGGCCTGGGCTGGGCGGCTACCCGTAGGTAGGTGCTCAGTGGGTCATCGGAACAGGCAAATTCAAACTCACTGAAATCAGTCTAGCCCATCACCCGAGGGGTACGTCGCTGGCTTAGTCCTTCTCTGACTTCCAGCGAAGACCCTACCTGGTCCGTTCCCGTCGAAGCCACCTCGCTATTCCGCTGCCAGAGCTGGGCGGCCACTGGCCCCTCGCGCAGCTGGCTCCCGCATCCACACCGAGGCAGGGAAGTGACACGAGGGGAGGGGAAAATGAACTAGAGGGCCCTGGAGATCACAGGGGGCACCAAGTGTACTCAATGTCCCAACTGTTTAAGGAGCTGGAAGATTTTGGAAGACTGGAGGGGTGGGAGGCATGAGTCGCAGACGGAGCGGCGCAGACGTTCCGGTGACGCAAGTGAGCGGGTACAGCGGGACCGGAGCCAGAGCAGCCGGGAAAGGATTGCTCTCCGTGGGCTCCCAGGCCCTTTAATAAAGCTGCCCCGCGATCCGGAACCGCCGCGCCGGAAGCGGTCCTTTCCTACCCACCCCTCGCCGGAAGCGGTCCGTTTTCACACGTCCGCACCGGAAGCGGACGCGGCTTCTTTCCACATCACGAAAGTTCCGGATGTCAGAGGGGTTGTTGTTGTTGTTGTTGTTGGTGGTGGTGGTGGTTTTATGCTGTAGACTCGGTTGGTAGCTATGGAGAATGAGCCATGCTGAAGGGGCCGCCTGAATTTCCCGATTTTGCTTCGGTGTTTTTGTTTTATCTTTTAATGTCTTTTAATGTCAATATTTATCCTTGACTTCGTCTCCCTCCTAGGTGCATCAGTTCAGTCTTCCGTAAATGATTCCCGAATTCCTCCAATCTTCCCCCCAAATTCATCCTCACTTTCTCCTGGGCTTCAGGAACATCCTTCTAACTGCTCCTAGATCCACCTTTCCCTTTGACATAAACTCTCTGCATAAACCCACAACTCCCACTGCGCTGCCAGCCCACCTTGCCCTTCTCCACTCTCCCAGGCATTGCACCTGTTGTGCCTGCTTGATTCTTGGCTCTCCTCAGAGCCACTCCTGTCATTGTCACCTCCACAGCATGTGACAACCTGTTCCTTTGCTTACTGGTTGTCTGTCACACCCAAGTGTGAATTCCGTAAGGATGGAGATCAAGCAAACTGGTCTCCTGGTACACATTCTACTTGTACAACTCAGCCAGGCAGTGGACATCTGCCAGCTGGATGTGAATCCTACCTCCACCCTGGAGGCACTGTGTGATCTTCCAGAAACCTCCTACCTCAGTTTCCTGTGTGTAGAATGGGTTTGTATTTTACAGGGAAAGTTACCGTCCTTCTGTGTCGGTGACTGGCTGAGTCCCTAGTTTGGCACCCAGCAATGGGTACACAGGTACACAGGATCTGGAATGCCTCCCTCCTCCCCTGGATGGCCTGCTGACATAGAAACCACTCAGACGCGTGTGTTTTTACAACAGTTTTAATATATATTTTTATAAACAGGTCACGTGATAAAATAGCACAAGAAACACTTACCAAATATAAGGTTATATCTTCCGCATATACAGGAGAATGAGGTCGTTATGTACAATAAGAAAATGATTTCAGGGGTTGGTTGGTTTTGTTTTCCTCTCTCCCCTTTTAATGTTTCCTCCTGCAGCCGTTGGAGATGTCACAGCTTCAGTTGTATTAATACTTTGGACAATGGACGACTCCCGACCTCCCCACTAGGGGGCTGTGGAAAGGGGGGCTGCAGCAGAAACTGGCTCCTGACCACTTCAGCCCCAGAGCCTCCTGCTGGCACTCCAATGGGGCAGGAAAATCTTTGGGCTGTTGAATTGTTTCTCTGCTTCAACAGCATTCGCGCTCTCTCTCTCTCTCTCTCTCTCTCTCTCTCTCTGGCTCTCTGGATACTGGTTACTCTCTGCCAACCAGATTTTTTTTTTTTTTGGCGGGGTGGGGGGAGGGGGAAAGGGCTGTATCTCCTGGGGCTTAAAATTGGGATGGAAAGGGGTCCCAGCCCCCTCCTCAACAATTGCCAAGATGTGCCAGCATCCCCCAGGACTTCCAGGTGTCTTGGAATCGTACAGAACACGACCAAAGCCCAGTAGGGCAGGTAGAGGTTTGGGAAGCTGGGATGAATTGGGGTGGGGGTGCCAAGGGTGTGCCAGTCACTGGTAGATCAGGGTAGCCTTGGCTGGGATCCACTTTCATAGATTCCACCTGATGGAGCTCTGCCAAGGGCAAAGCTTGGTGAGGAAAGGCCGGAGTTAGCTGATAGTGGGGTCGATCTGCATGGTCAGCTTCCAAGGCTTGTGGGCCCTTAGGTATCAGATCCAGCTCCATGTCTCTCACCGTGCCTGATGCAGCCCCAGGTGGTGCTGCTGGCTGGACAGATAACTGATCACTCTCAGGTCATGATTGGTCTCACCCTGGCCAGGGCCCAAGGCCATGAAGGACGGGTGCTGGGGTGTCAGGGAACAGGGCCGTTCGCTTGGGCCAGGCTGGCATAGAGTGGGGGAGGGACAGGAGCTTGGGCGCCTCGGGGGGGCCATGGCTTTGGCGGTGGCCTGTAAATCCCTCCCTCTCCTTGAAGGGCACCAGGCGCAGTGCAGTGGAAGATACGGAAGCCCTTAGGGCTCTAACAGGTCCCTAGGTCCTAGGAAGCCCAGCCCCCTCGTTCTCTGGGGGCGGGGTTCTGGTCCAGGATATGGGGGGGGGGGTCAGCTGGGAGACGGAGAGGGGGTCGGGGGGGCCAGGGTGTGGACGGGGAAGGCAGTATGGGCGGCCATCTGGTGAGCTGAAAGTGTGCCCCCAGGACCGAGCCCCAGGCCCCCCTCCGAAGGTGGGCAAGTGATGGCGGCGGCAGTGGCGTGGGGGAGGGCGTGCGTGCAGTACGGGCACGATGGGCATGCACAAAGTCCCCGAGTGTGCGTGCGTGCATGGGGCTGGTCCTGCTGCCCCTCTCTGCCCGGGCAGGGCCAGCAGAGGAGCGGAGAGGGCGGGTGGGCTAGCGGGGGCGCGGGGCAGGGCTTTCCCTCAGCTTGCGCGTGCGCGCGTCCTGCGTTGGGCCAGGGCAGGGCTCCCCTGAGGGCAGGGCTGGGAGATGGGGCTCAGCAGCGCCCCCGCCCACCCCCAGAAGATGGCAGGATTCCCGCGATGGGAGCAGGCATGGCCCCACACTACTCGATGACTATGCAGCGGGGTAGGTGCTGCGAGAAGTACTTAAAGAGCTCGGGCGTGGCCCCGGGGCAGTTGGTCAGCTCCAGTTCCTCCAGCTCCTGCAGCTGCACCAGGCCTGATAGCCCCGTGGTGGTCAGCAGTGGACAGCCTGTGGGGAGGTGGACAGGAGGGGGCAGTGGCTCAGCCTGGGCGGTGCCTGGCTGGGTTGGAACTTGCCCCCTTCTCCCTCTTCTTGCCTTGGACCTGAGACAAGGCCAGTCTGTCCAGGTGTGACTCTGCACAAGGGACAGGCCAGCTAGGGGGTTGGACGAGGTGGAGGGTGGGCACTGTCTGAGAGGGCGGCGGGGGTTCTCACCGGCCAGAGACAAGAGACGCAAACTCCTCATGGCCAGGAGGTGTTTCAGCCCGAAGTCCTGAACCTGGGTGGCAGGAGAGCCGGGTTATTTCAGTCCACACCCTATGGGAGCCCCTCCCTAGCCCCCCAGCCGGGTCTGCTGGAGACGCAGGAGGAGGGTCTAAGTGGGGGAAGGAGCAAGGCAGCTTTTGCAGTTCTGGTCATCTCCCCTCAGATGGGCAGCTGGAGGCAGAGGAAGCCCGGATTTCCCTAAAGCACGTGAACGAGGTGACCAGCATGTCAGCACACTGTCTGGGAGGGAGCATTTCCCTTGACCTGCACTTCTTTCCCCACAGCCTCTTCCATGCTGGAAGGTGAGGAGGACTTGTACCTGGCAGCACCATCGCAGGTAGAGGCTTCGGAGGGATGACATGGTGGACAAATAGCTGAGGCCAGTGTCTGTAATTCGAACACACCTGTGGGTGGACCAGAGGGGGCACTACCTAAGACCACCTTTACCATGGCCAGCTCCACCCCCTTTCTCCTTCTGGGAGCACCCCTGGTGTAGATTCTCCCCTGCCATGCCCCCAGTTCATAACCGATGCCAGCCATGGTACCCACCTTCCGTTGGTCCTCTGTGGTCATTCCCAAGGGCTACTAAACTGTAGGATAAGCGCTAGCCCGCAAAGTCGGTATGAGTCGGAACTGACTCCACGGCAATAAAAACCAAGCTTTTCTACCATTCTGGCCCCCCTCAGTGGTTGCACCATAGCTGTCATTCGCTCTGCCCTCTTGCTATAGATAGACCAGCTTACTCACTAGTCTAGGGTCTTAGGTGGCCATGACCCCGCCCACCACCCAGGCCCCGCCCCAGCAGGGAGGGGCACAGGCAGACACCTGTCCAGCACGAGCTCCTCCAGGCGGTGCAGGTCACAGGCCACGTACTCCAGCGCCATGTCGGTAATGCGCGGGCACCACGAGAGGTCAAGGCTGCGCAGCTTGCGCAGGTTCTCGGCCACGAGCTCAACACCGTCGTCTGTGACCTTGGAGCAGCCGGAAAGGCTGAGTGCCGTGAGGTTGGGAAGGCTGTGAACCACATTGACCACGCCGTGATTGGTGATCTCCCAGCAGGACAGCAGCCGCAGCGTGTGCGTGCTGTGGCCCTGACGTGCCGTGAAGTAGGCCAGTGCCGTGTCCGTCACGTGGTAGGCCTGCAGGCTCAGCTCGGCCAGGTTGGGCAGCAGCTGCGAGATGGCGGCAATGGCGTCATCTGCTACGTTAATGCAATCGCTCACGCTCAATGAGGTGATGCGCGCGCTCAGGCTGGACCACAGCCCTGCCTCCGTGAAGTCGTTGCAGCCAGAGAGCTCTAGCCGGACCACCCCCTGCATTTGCTCCAGCATCACCTGTGGACGGTGGGGGGGGGAGGGGTCGAGAAGTCAGGAGGCCTAACCTAAAGGCCCATTACATCTATGATATGCGTGGTTTCAGTCCGTGAAAACTGAAGGAGCAACTTTGGGGCAGGGCAGGAAGCCGTGGTCTTGTGGGTATACATGCTGTAAGTAACTCATCAAGCTGAACTCTGTCCCAGTACGCCCCAGTGTTAGGTTATACCCCAAGGAGCCTGGTGGTGCAATGATGAAGTACTATACTGACCTAACCAGAATGTCTACGGTTCAAGCCCACTGGAGGCTCCGATGGGACAAAGACCTGGTGACCTGCTCCTGGAGATTACAGCCTTGGAAACGCTATGGGGGTAGTTCTGCTGTACCCTATTGGGTCATAATGAGTTGGAATTGACTCAAAGGCACACAGTCACAACGTGTAATATACCAACAGAATCCTAAAACAAGAGGCAGAGCCTGGCAGAACTAGCTCCCTGGGGCTTTTAATGTGATGGCCGGGGTCTAGGGCCTGGGGTAGTAGCCGCTAAGCTGCCCCTTTGACCTTCGTCCTTTCCTGCTGGACAGTCTTAAGTTCCCTTTCCGCTTCTTCAGCACTCTGCCTCTCAGCACTGGCTTCCCTGGAGTGAGACCTGGGTATTCATTCTTGGACTTCTTATTTTTGAACACTGGGGTCTTCCTAAGCCCAGAGTCCTGATCTTCCTCAGGACACCCCCATCAGTTACTTTGATCCTGGTGGGACTGAGCCTCCAGAGTGTCACCTTGCCCCTCCCCCCCAGCCCTAAGCTCACCTCCAGGCCAGCGTCTGTGATGGTAGAACGCTTGAGGCTCATGGCCTTGACACCCTTCTTGGAGAGTGCGTAGTTGTCGATGAACTCACAGATGTCCAGGTCGGAGACACCCACCAGGCAGAAACCCTCGAAGCCACGTGCAGCGAAGCCTTGCAGGTCCACAAACTCCTTCTCGCCACTCGGCAGCATGTTGTAGAGCTCCTTGGCATGCAGTACGGGCGTGAGGCCGGCCCAGAACTTGGGCTGGTAGAGCACACGTCGCCAAACCCTGCACACTTGTGCCAGCACACACTTCTCACAAGCCGAGAAGTACCAGAAGAGTCCATTGAGGATCTTCTCGTCTGTAGCCAGGGGTGGTCGCTCCGCTGGGAGCCCGCGCATTGGGGATGAGGCCGGTCCACCAAGAGGGAGCCCTACTGAGGGGCACGGCACCCCCGCCAGGGCGGGCCGGGGGAGTGGGGCAGCCAGGTTGGGAGGTGGTAGAGTGGGTGGGGGTGGAGGTTGGCACAGGCGGTTCTTGACAGCTGGTGTGCCCTTGGTGATACTGGCTGCCCCCAGACCGTTGGGCTGGCCAGGCAGCTTCACTAGGCCATTGCGAGGCAAACATGGAGGCTTGGGGTCCCCGTCGACTCCTGGGCTCGACATCTTCCACGCTCACTCTACAGGGGGCAAGTGGGGACAAGAATGAGCAGCTTTTCTCTATCTCTGCTCACCCCACCCTCCCTAACAGAAGACCAGAGTGCCTGTAGGCAGCAGAATTCATTAGTGCCTACGGTATACATGGAGCTCATGGGGGGCTTTTGGACCTAACAAATGAGAAAACCAAGGTGGAGAGAAGACACTGCTCACTGCAGTGCCAGGGGCTGTTCCATTAGTCTTGGCCACCAGAATGGCTCCCTGGGAGTCTGGGACACACACTAGACCCTGAGAATGTCTTCACAAAAAGGAGGTTCCATGGTACACCTGGGCCATCTCCTTAATCGTCTTCCCAAGGAGGACACCACTGTGATCACTCTCCCCCTTGCGCACATGAGGAAACCGCGGCCACAGCAGGGTAAATTTGTTACCCAAGGTCATGGCCAATAAATGGACGGGTTGGAGTTTGGACCATGGCCTGGCTGTGGGAAGGCATGTATCGGGAGGGAACACGGTCATCCGTCCTCCTACCCCATAATCAGGGCGCTGGGACAGCAACAGCCCATGCTTCCCCCCAGGCTGTGAGTGGGTGGCAGAGAGCACTGGGCATGGACAGACCTGAAAGGAATAAAACACTGGGCCCTCATGATGCCACCATTGGCTTTGAATGCTGAGCTGTGACTTGTCCATTGCCCCTCACCCCACCCCCGCAACACCCAGTGGGGATGATAGTGTCACTAACACATGGTTTTGGCTTAGGCACCTCGTCTCACCTTCTCCTAGCCTCTGAGCCAGGGAGGTAATGTGTGGAGGGCGGAGGGCGGAGGGCAATGCCTGGCTTGCAGTGAGCCCTTGGCATTTCAGTCAAGGTTTTTTCTGAGACCCCCAACAAAGCAGACCCCACCTCCCCAGGACTGAGGCCCTTACCCTCTAACCCACACACTCAGGGGAGAGGTAGCCAAAGGCTGTAGCAGTCAAGGGGAGACCCCAGCCTGGCATCTCTGCTTCCAGCACCCACCCCCTCCCTTCATAGACACCTCTCCCTCCTGCGGGACGAAGCTATGCCACTGGGTCAGAGCTGGGAGTCTCACCTGGGCACCTACAACAAGCAATGGACTTCCACCAAGCCTGGAGCCCAACATCCTGCATCCGGGGAGAGGTACAGACCTGAGCTGGGTTAGGGTTCTCACCAGAAAACGAGCCACAGCCAACCCAGCCTGGGCTCTGGCAGCAAAGACCCCACATTGCAGTCCCACTCCAGCGGCTCTGTGCTGTTCCCCCTCCCCTCAAGCCCAACCCGGAGGAGGAGGTTCCCTCAACCAGGAAGTCAGGAAGCGGTGGTCTATGGTTGATAGGAACATACTCACTGGGATAGTCAAGTACTTAAACTAGAGGAGGAGGCGGGACGGGGTGGTGGGGAGGGGAAGGGAAGGGGTGGCTATTGTTAAGCCCAATTTTCTGCTTTGAGAAACCAGGCGCGGCGCGGAGCGCGGATCAGGACCCCGCGGAGGGGTTTCCCCAGATCCCCGGATGCAGACTACAGGAAGAAGGAAACTTCAGGAACAGGATGAAGCCCATGGCTACACTCATCCCTGGGAGAAATGGAGAGGCAGTCCAACAGCTCCTTCCAGGAGGTTGTGATGGAGATAAAGATCTAGCTCTGCGTCCCTGGAGCCGCCCTAGTTCCCCAGGCCGGGGCGCCCCGCCCACTGGCCTCCCCGCCTCCCACAGGCTCGGCCCTCTTGGGCGCAGGCGTGCAGTACCATGGACAGCGGCCGCTCCATTCCCGCGCGCGCTCCTGCTACGCTGGGCTGGGCCCGTTCTGCCGCCGACAGCCGCTGGCTAGAGGATGAAGCGGAGGCCCTCTAGCAAATCCGACACCGGGCGAGCCCAACCAGCAGGGAGGGGCCCCCGAGGCGGCTGTGAAGCCGCCTGCTCGGCTAGAATCCGGAGGAGGCAGCGGAGGCGGCACCAGGGAGAAATAACGAGGATTGGTGCCGATTTAGGTTGAGAATGCTTCCAGCCTGGGTGTGCACGTGGAGTCCCTGAGTTGGGGGGGATGCACGTGGATGCCCCAGGCCATCTGGGGGGCTTCCTTCCCACCTCACTAGATTGCACGGTTGTGAACATATGCACCAGACACACCCCATTCCTTCCCCTAGGCCCCAGGATCCAGAAGGTGAAAAAAAAGCAAAATCCCACAGGCTCTGCGAGTCCACAGCCCAGCTGCCCTTCAGCCCACAACCCTATCCCTGAGTCTTCCTGGAGGTGAGCCCCTCACCTGAGGCCCACTGAAGCTGCCTCAGAATCAACTCTGCTGCTTTTAACCCTGTCTGCCTGAGCGCTCTCTGCCTCAGTCCTACCACTCAAAACTGGAAATAGCCAAATTTTAGGGTCAGAGGTTGGAACTTCGTGATTAAGGCTGGGACAAAGGCGTCCCTGTGGGGCTAGGATAAGCCTGACCCTGGCCCCACCCACCTGGCCTGCTTCCCCTGGAGGGCAGAACCTCTCACTCTCCTACCACTTGTGACAGCCCCCCCCACTGCAGGGCTCTAGGGAACCAACTTGCAGGTCCTGCTGGGGGTGGGAGTAGGTGCCAGTCCTTCACACTGCCTGCTTTAGAGGAAAGTACCTCAACAATGGACGCTCGGAAGTCCCAGTCTCACCCTCAGCTAGGAGCGTGGAGTTCTGGGGAAGGGCACGTCTGGGCAGACTGTAGAAAGGTTGGACGTTCCAGAGTTCACCCCAAGGGAAGGAGGGGGACCATGGCTTCAGCTAGCTGTTGTCATCAGCTTGGACCAGAGCTGGGAGGAGCTGCCTGTGGTCTGTACTCTCTCTGTGGCTTCACAGGGAAGCATGCGGGACCTCGAGAACCATACAGTCCATAGCCTCCTCTCCTACCCATGCCCAGCACCAACCACATTCTGTACAGACCCCCTCTGCCTGGCACACTTGGGCCCCCTTAGCTCTGTAAGCTCCCTCTTCCTGCTTAACCTCAGTAGGAAGCCACCCTGGTCTCCTCCATCAGGACCTACAGCATGGAGAAAGCACCTCCAGGGTCCTACTCGTCACTGCCCACAGATTGGCCTCTCCTACCAGCCTCGGGACCCCTTAGGGACAGACTACACGATGTCTGGGTGGTCTCTGAATGAATGAATGAGCCAGGAGTAGGATCCTGGAGGGAGGAATACAGTACCAGAGCTGAGGGCTCAGTGGAGGGTGGTGGGAGTTGGACCCGATGAGGTTCAACCTCATGTCCTGGCTGTGGTAGCAGTCTGTGTTCATGGGGGAGAGAGGCCGCTATCCAAGATCAGTAGGAGCCAGGGTCTCTGAGGAGGGTCTTAAGTGGAGCAGTGGACAAGGGCACCTGGAATTATGCAGAATCTTGGGGGGAGAGGAAGGCAGACCTCAGAGTCCTTGAGTGGCCAGACCCCAGGGGATGGGGCTGGCACCGTAGGAGGTCAGGAATGTGGGCACTCCTGCTTACTGACCCAAAGCTGAGTCTCCATCACTGCACTGACACATGGCTTAACCATGATGACCTTTCAGGAGGTGTACCAGTTGGGACTCAACCCCAAGTCGGTGGGACCCCTGACGCCTGGGGTGGGTAGCGGTGACCTGGAGCGTGACCCTGAGTACTCAGCTCACAGGGAACCAGGTACATCTCTGCAGTACCTTGATCTTCCTTTGCTCCATTAGGCCTCTTCCAGGTCCCTTGGATGCCCCAGCCTGGGTCCTGGGCAGTGGCCACTCTGACAAGGGCCACACTTGTCAGCATGCTGGTCACCACTAACCCTGTTCCTCCAATCAGAGAAGACAGTTTCCTACAGGCACCCCCAGGACACACTTCTTAGGGTCTTTTCATGGCCGGGAGGTCTCTACTCCAACATTGGGGGTATCCTACCCTGGACTCAGGGCACGCAGTAGATTTGTCCTTAAGACTGTGGCAGCCAGAAGCAGTCACAGGAGGCTGGGTTCGGTAGTGGCCCCAGGGGCTGGGGTGACAACTGGGGCAGCTCAGGGCTGGGGACTTGCGAGGGCTGACAAGACCCATGACTCAGGCATACATCCTGCACGTGGCACCGCGGCACTCATCCGCCCCCGGCTCTGAGACGTTTCTGGGGTTTGGGCTCCCCCATCCTGTGCACCAGGGCCTCTAAGAATGGGAGACCCTCAACTTGGGGTCATGTGGACTAATAAGAGACTCACATGGAGGCACCAGCAGAGGTTCACGTGGCCTAGCATGCAGCCCAGGGAGGCTGGGCTCCGGAGGGAGTAGACTCTGGAGTCTGCTCTGAAGGGTCCGAATACCCCCACCCCCCAGGCTGGGGACTGACACTGGTGGTGCTGCTCTGCACATTTGCCCCAAACCCTGTTCCCATGCCCTGCAGTCAACTGACTGGTGCCCGTCCCAGACCAGTGGTGGGGAAGGGTCTGGGCTACCCAGCATCCCTCACTCCACCCAGCCCTTCAGGAACCAGGTGGGATGAGATGAGGCCTCAGATACTACAGCCAGTCAAGGAGCTTTTCCCTTACCCACAGGGTTGAAATGTCCAGCCCAGGGCCACCCACCCTAGGACACTAGCCTCCTCTGACCAAGGGGAGACAGCACTCCCTCAGGTCCCAGGAATGGGTGTGAGTCTGCGGTGGCCTTCTGTCCAACAAGCCTCCCCAGTGTGGAGCTCGACCCAAGCTGGGGAGGGGTCTGGGGTGGGGAAGCCAGACAGTAGATGCTGCAGACTGGGGTCAGCATAAGTCTGGGGTCCCAAGGGGACTGCTGGCCAGCCCTGCACAGCACTTGTTTACGGCTGGGCTCCATTCCCCTCCCCTCCACTTCCCCTCCCTTCCCAGTGCTCCCAGTTAGGCCTACATCCACTTCCAGTCAATGCCAACAGAGCTTTGGGACCACTCACTGGCGTGGGTGACCCTGTCAGGGGGCTTGGGCCCCATATGTCCTGCAAACCCCTTGGACTCCCAGCCTGGCCCAGTCCTCTGCTCTAGGCTGTTAT